CGTTACCTCATTCTTTAAGTTTTGCGTTGTGTGTGTGTGTGTGTAAAGGCTCCCGCTGTGTGTATAGTCCTTCAGTGCTCTCCTCTGGATCAGGTTTTATTGACTTTGGAGAAAAGAGACGGAACTTTTGAAGCCTCACTCTGTTCTGAAGACACCCTTTCTTCATTCCCCAACTGCATTCACCTTACAAACACACGCACACATTTGTATTCCTCTCTTTGTGGGGTACAGTAATGTCTTCCGTATGACTGCAGCTAAATGCCGCTGTAGCTACTGACCAGAACGGTGCGTAAACCTTTTTTGAGTTGGTATTGTTGATGCTAGGATGGTTGCGAATGTGATAGCACAGATTAAAATACTGTAGCACTGTAATAAAAGGTACATAATAATACCTTTAATTAGTGAACAATTTGTCATTTTAGCTGTGAAAAATAGAAACAGCATGTAAAAGGTTTGAATACTAAAGTCTTGTAAATACACAAAGTTTGTTTTCTCCAGAATAATTACGATTCCCCATGAGGGGATGTTATTTCAACTTAAGTAACATTTTGTATTCTGTATCGCTGAGAGAGATAAAACACACATATGAACCCACACCAGCAGTGTTTTGCATATCGCTGCTGTCGGATCAAAACTTCGTATCTCCAAAAGAGTAACTTTACAGAAGAAAGAAAAAACATACTTTACTTTTAATGTAAGTCAGTGGAACCACGTAATTTTGAGCTGTCTTTTGGTCCATTCATCATGAAATTTACACACAATGTAAAGGACAACAGGCATTTTAAAATTATGTCAAAAACTGAAAAACAAAAATGGAGATACAAGGTTTTGTTCCCACAGCAGCGATATGCTTGTTGTCACAGATTACAGAATACTAGTACTCTAGGCTGATCTTGGTCTCGAGACCACAAATGAACAATCTTGACAAGTTTAGTGTGCCTAATTTGTGCTATTCAAATTTAATGTTCAGAGATGCCCAGCATGCAGTAAGACAGCCAGGGTTTAACAACGTTAACCAATTCGAAATAGCCCTTTTCTTTTTTAAATGAATTTTTAATAGTGAAATATTAAACAAATCTCATAGTTCTTTTTTATATGTTACAGAAGCACAGCCCACTCTGGCCCACATCATGGTTGTAAGGCACCCAAACAGTTTGGGCCTAATATCCATAATATATCCACATATCAACATCTGTATGTCTGTAATAAGATCTGCACTCTGATTGGCTAATAGGAGAAAAAATATCACTACTTTGCTTATTTAGTATCCAATTAATTATTTTATACAGCCTGAGATGGAGAAAACGGGCCAGAGAAGTATCTATCTTTATTGTTTAACTATAAAAAACAAATCTTAGTTTTTAAAGTGCTTAAGTGGTTTTGGTCTTAATCTCAGTCTCGTTCGGTTTAGGTCTTGGCTCGGACTATGAAATCTTGGTCTTAAATTGGAGTGTCCTGGTTTCAGTCTTGACTCTGCTTGACTACAATACTAGTAGCTACATTTAAACCAGCCCTAAGTTTAACCCTCCAGAACCAAACTAATCTTCTTGACTCTTTTTTATTCTTTCTAATACATGCTGTTATTTTTGTTAAAAAAAACGCTCCTTGTGGGGACCAGCCAGAGCAATTGGTCCCCAAAAAGAGGTAAATATACACACTTTGCCTCCAGCATTCTCTTAACATGCACAGCTCACTTGCTGCATTGTATTTAGCATGTCTCACTAAAAGAACCTCTTTTGGTTTTAGAATTAAGTTCACACACACACTTCCACACATACACACACACACACACTTCCACACACACCCACACACACACTTCCACACATACACATACAGCTCCTTCCTCAGTGCTGACAGGTTAATAAAGACCCATAGTAACCGCGGCTCTGTTGGAAGCCCTTCGGGCCAAAATGTTTTTCTTTTCACTGGCCAAGTAGCTGTGATGAACGTGCTCAAAGCCTGAGTTTAACAGACACTTACAGAGCTACTTGCTGCAGGCCTAATCCTGTCTCTCTCTGTTCTACAGTGAGGGCTCATTCAGAACGACTATGTGAAGACAAAGGGATAATGAGAGTATGAGGACGTTGAAGTTGCTTAACAATGTATATATTAACCCAAGTGTGGAACCCTCTAGGCCTTCCAGGAAAGGATCCTCAAAAAATATTTAATGAGATTTTTTCTCTGTGTCATCTAGGTGGATACAACCAAGTGGGCTCTCTCATTGGTTTGGCCTTGAGGAGCTGGACAGAAGTTCCTAGACATTAGATTACCTAGCAATATACTTATAAGGTGACCAGTCATGTTTTGATTTGTAGTTGGGACCAATTTCTGAGAAAAAATTACTCAAGGTCTTATGACCTGTGACATTTCTGGACTGTGAATATGAGCTGTAGCCTAACCAGGTTTCAGTAATTGTCAGAAATGTAAAACAGCGGCAGCTCTGTGTCAGGGTTATGTGAATGGAATGTCTTTTACAAGTTTCAGGTGTCCGTGTTTAATCATTTCAAAATATTTTCAGCTCTATGCTAACATAATATGAGAAATCTCACAGGGGTTCTAGCAAAATTTAATATCATTGTAGAGGTGTCTTGTTTTGACCTTTATGGCCCATACCTAGCTCTTATCATCACATTTTGCCTCTGGTTGACCCAAGAGTCTAGAGTTGTTACTCTCATTTTATGATGATTGTTACAAATGCAAGGAATTGCATTAATGTACATCACATAATATTTTAAATATAGGAACATAAATACATAAATCATTGGATAATTACATAATAAAGTACATTCACATTCAGCATTAACAGGCATCAAACATGTTGCACATTTGACTTTTTTCCATTTTTGCCAGTGTCAAAAAATGATTTTGAAACATGGCAAAAATGTACATGGCAAAAAAACAACTGTGCATACAACAGTAACCTTATCAAATCATAATAAAACACTGACAGAAATGGAAAAACAGTCAAATGTGCTCATGTGCAAACATATGATGGACTGAAAGTTTAGAATCTGCATCTGTAATCTACATAATGTAACATAATGTAAGACATTTTTAAGACAAACTCTGCAGAAAGCGAAAAACGTCTGTAGTGGTACCTCGAAGGCCTTGGGGTTGAAATTATGCACCACTGCCTTCAAATTTTCTCTCTCACTCTCTCTGTAGATGAATAATGATTTTTTTTTACTGGCCTCACCAGCACACAGCCCATCTATAATGAAATCCCCTCAGAACTCAGTAATAATAAACCACGACCGTGCGCAAGATAATGTTCAAAGCTAAATCATCAGCTGAATGGAAATGTGTGGTTTTGCTCAGAATGAGACGTGCCGAATGGAGGCGCCCATCTGAAAAGCACATTTCAACAGTATAGTGGTACATATGTGTGCGTGGGGTTTGGGGTGGAGGGAGTTGGAAGCATTATGTAGTAGGGCTTATTTAATAGGAAGCTCATTAGACTGCTTCTGAAAAGAACATTGAGGAAAAGATCAAATAGGTCCATATGGAGTCGACCGTGAGTGTGAGATGGTCATGTATGTGAGTGGAGGCAGGTGTTCCATAACTGGAAACCTAAAACTCCCTCTTGACTGCCAGGTGGTTTTTCTATGATCCTTACTGTGTTACACACCTTCACACACACATGCCGCTGACGGTAACCAGGGTACCGTGGTAACAGCCCCTATTGATGGTTAAAACTTCCTGCCAGTGTTTATTTATTGGTTGATTTTATGCAAACCATAGCAAGAAAGCAGAGTTCCCACATGTGAACATAAACTGAACTTTTAAACATGGTGGGCAGAGGTTCCCAAATCCCAGTCCTGGTGACCTCACATTTCTGTGCTTTGTCTTATCTAGAACATCTAAACCAACTCTTTAACTAAAGAACATGCTCCTCATGGCCTGGGAAAACACAACAATGTCCCAGTCAGGATTGGGAACTGTGTATTGTGTATCCTACATCAGTGGTCATCAACCCTTTTCTTAGAGATACTACGTTCCTGCAGAGTTTAGACTAACCTGCATCTAATGCTACCCTTCTGTTATTATGATCATTATTATTAATATTATTATTAATAGTAATATCTAGTAGCAGTAGTAGTATCTCTGTAAGTACATCTGCTGATGCTTCAGGGCACATCAGATCATTATTAGTGATCATCAGTTCTTGGAAACATCAGCAGATGTTATATATCAGCTGTACTTACAGAGATCCTTTCCTGGCGCTGCCTGTGGGGTTGCGTGATTGGTTCATTTTGTAACGTGACTTCTTTGACTTGCGTGACTTCCCTTGCCAAGTTTTGTGATGGCCAGGAAAGGACTGTTGTGGACAGTGGAGGAGACAGAATGTGTCATAAATATATGGAGCGAATAAAGCATTCAAGCGCAAATGGTCACTCATAAAAACCCTCAATTGTTCTGCTTGAGTGTTTGTATCCAAGGAAAATAATAAAACAGATAAAGCTAGTACCTAGTATGGAATCGCGCAATCGATCCACAGTTTGGATGGAATTCTTGTGCGTGAAAGCAAGCCAGCAATAATGAGCCCCTCCCCCAAATGAGCCCGGAATCTTTGTTGAATAAAAGCTAACGATAAAAATGGAAATTAGGTCTGATATTTTAAATTTAAAAAATCAAATACAATATTCATCTGCGTAGATGTTAGCAGATGAACTGGGGGACTGTTGACTCTCTTGGCTATGTCTGAAATGTTGTGACTCTTTTGAGCTGCCAGTGAGCAATGAGGGGTGAGAACCCCCTGCTGTGAAAACTATTTACACTTCTCCTCAAAGACGATCATGCTGAAGTAAAACAGACAGCTTAACTGTTGCTTTCTGGATATCAAAAGTCAAAATTGTCATATCATGATATAAAAATATTGTATTTTATATATGAAATGTGTTTATTATATGCATATGATTCTGTATCTCTAACCTCAAGAACTCATTTTCGTCTTTTTTTTAATTAATTCACCAAGTCTCATATATGTGTGACGGTCTCAGGTGTGCCCGTGCGGCTGGTGGGCGGAGAGAATGAGAGAGAGGGGCGGGTGGAAATCCTGGTCGCTGGCCAGTGGGGGACGATCTGTGATGATGGATGGACAGACCAGGATGCGGAGGTGGTGTGCAGACAGCTGGGCTACAGGTAACACATTTACAGACATATGCAGAGGTTTAATTACTTCCAGTCAAATGACATGTTTTGTTGATTTTACTAAGTGAAAATAAGTGAACATGCTTTACAGGGAACAAACATAAAGTGCCCATGTCATATATTTTAGTTGTATTTTATTCTTTACCCCGAAGTCCTCTTGTGACCTTTGTGTCGGTTTATGTACAACATAAAAACATATTTTTATTTTTATTTTATTGATGTTACAATAAAGAGCACATACAAGAGCACCAGAACACAAACGCACACACACACTGATGAAAAGGGTAAGTGGGGCTATGCACCACAATCTGTAATGGTAGAACGACAAAGTACATCTAGAGTGCTGTCAAAGTCAAAGACTACCCTTTTGTTTATTTCATTTCTAGTCAAAGCAGCCATTAAGTTATACATTTAAAATAGCAGAAGTAAAAATAGCAGAAAACATATATTCACTTGCATAATGAAGAAGAAAGTCAAATGTAATATATAATGTCAAATATGTGTGTGTGTATATAATATATATATGTATATATATATATATATGTATATATATATATATATATATATATAAATATATATATATGTTTTATATATATATATATATATATATATGTTTATATACACAAAAATACTATTAAAATAAAATGAAATATTTTTAATAAAATAAGTATCTTTGTATATATGTATAGAGTTGTATATAAAACTTTGAGCGCCTCAAATTACGTTTTATTGAATTTATGAGTTACACTTCTTACACTTTTACTATCTGTTATTACTGTTAAACTCAGCTAATGAATAGAAATTGTGCAAGATTTGCAGAAACAATTGTTATATTTAAGTTTGTGTTCAGATTGTGCAGCTGTTAGTTGAGTTAATTAGGCCAAGATATATTTAAAACCAAACACAACTCATTCACTCCAGTGTCCCTTGGCAGGAGCCGTGATCTACAGCATTTAACGCCAGAGAGAGAGAGCGAGAGAGAGAGGGAGAGAGAGAGGGAGAGAGATCTGTATACCTCTCTGTTGCCAAAAGCAGTTCCTGTATTTATGACCCAGTGTGTCTTTCATTTACTAATAATAGTTTGACGTGTGTCTGTAATACAGCATCACTGGAGGAAATTTATAATCCAGTGTCCCAGTCTTTAGCCTTTCTTCAGTCAGCCTGTCTCTCTAACATGCACACACATGTGTTTTGGGGGTTATTCATCTGGAAAGCATGAGGGTGAGTGTGCATTACAGCTCGCTGACAGTGCTCTTTGTCTAGCATATGTGTGCACTGATTTTAAATGCAGCATTAAGACAGGAAATAACAGGCCCAGTGTTAAAGTTTAATGTGTTCAGATGCTCTGTTTGGGTGTGTGTGCGTGGCCTTTACATTCTGGTCCTTTGAGGTGAATACACAGTTCACGCTGACTCTGGAAAATATGCACACACACACATTGACACATGCATTGGATGAACAGGAGCAAAAAAGAAAAGGAAAAAACAGAGGAGAGAAAGACAGCTAAAAAACACTTTTGACAACAGATCTAATGGACTGCAAAGTTGGAAATTATCGGCACTCAGCCAATCGACTGAAATGATTTCAGTTGATGTGTTGGTGTGTTATAACATATATAATGTAAACCAACTAAGTACATTGCAAAAAAAAAAATCACAAAAACCTAACAAAAATACGCTGAAAATGAAATAATACACGCTGTCAGTCAAATAGGTTAGGTTTATGTTTCACGCAGTGAAATGCATGATCCTGGAAAGGGTTACTATAGTTCTATTTAACACATTCGTAATAAAGTGCACTTTATTATGAACACTATATACTAATACTGGGTAACCACAATTGGAAAAAACTCCACTGCGCAGCTCTCAGAACAGAAAAAAACAGCCTTCCTTGGATGGTCGATTTACCAAGCTGTTTGAAACCTGAGCTAGAACAAGCTGAATCATCCTCGCATTTATATTGTGTTTGGGAACTCTTTGGTTTCCCAGTTGAGAACATTAATGATGTCATCGCTCAAATGTGCTAGATGAAAAAAAACAAAGATGCTTTGGAAATTCACAATAAATAAATTAATGAAAATATATGCAAAAATGCGAAAGCTATGTTAGCTTGTCTTGTCTACTTCTGGTTGGAAAATGTACCGTATCAGGATGATGATACAACAGTACATATCGTATTGTGAAGTTTCTGTATCATTATGGCCCTAGAATATAGCATTTTAAACACAGTATATGCATCAAACATTCTGTTTCCATGCATAGTAATAAGATACAGGGACTGTATAATATATTCATTTGCTGAGCATTTTATTAGGAACACTAGTATAAATGTAGTTATGGTATAATTGAAGTTTGTGGGGAGGAACATACCTGAAACCCCTCCTTCCAGTCTAACGCCCTATAAATTCACATCCTCACCTTCTGTTCCCGTGACGAAACGTTCGCAATCCCCACCGCCACCCCATCTCCTCCCTCTTTCTCAGTCCTGCTACAGCTATGGGGGGTCTGGCCTTCTAGCTACAGGCAGAAGCTGGCCAGAACTCCGGCCCCAAGTTCTCAGAGTTCTCCTCCCTACCTCAGTCTTCCCTCATACTACCACCACATGTTAAAGGCATGGTCTGAACTCACAAATAATAACAGGCTGTGGCATTCAAGTGATGATTGTTTGAAATTAACGGGAAATTAAGTGTGCCAAGAAAACATTTCTAACCCCATTACACCACCTCCACCAGCCTGGACTGTTGAGATAATGCAGGTTAGGATTCATGCTGTAGTGACAGATTCTGACCCTACCATCTGACCATCAGACCAAGCTATGTTTTTTCAGTTTTCACCTGTCTAGTTTTGGTGAGGCTGTGCCCACTGCAGCCTCAGCTTTCTGTTCTTGGCTGACCCGTGGAACCTTCTCCTGTTGTAGCCCATTCGCCTCAAGGTTTGACGTGTTGTGCATTCTGAGATGCTTTTCTGCTCACTTCTGGTTGTCTGAGTTACTGTAGCCTTTCTGTCAGCTCAAACCAGTCAATAGGTCAACAGGTCAGGTCATCCTCTTTCATCAACAGGCTGTTTCCGTCCATGGAACTGTCACTCACTGGATGTTTTCTCTTTATTGCACCATTCTGAGTGAACTCTAGAGATCATCAGGAGATCAGCAGTTCTAGAAATACTCAAACCAGCCCATCTGGCACCGACAATCATGCCTTGGTCAAAATCACATCGACCCACTCTGATGGTGGATGAGAACATTACCTGAAGCTGTTGGATCACATCTGCATGATTTTATGTACTGCACTGCTGCCACACAGTTAGCCTTAATGAGTAGATGTACAGGTGTTCCTAATAAAGTGCTCTGTGAGTGTATATAGAGTATTGATCTGTTGGGTAGAGTAATTCTGTTTCCCTCATCAAACTCAAATTAAGCCACCAGAAGCCACATCTGCTTACCAAATGAGGCAACAGAAAATCAAAGTGCAAAATCAAAAGGCCTTGAATTCAGACAGTGTAAAAGGATGCTGCTTCTTGAAACAAATGAAAAAGCCCTGATTTAATAGTAGTCAAGCCATAATATCTGTAGTTTGTGTTGATAAAAAGAAGTTTTAACTGTTATTGCCATTCAAATACGTGAAATCTAATTTAATAGTATTCAACTATCCCTTTGAGAAACTTCCATAACAGTCCTGGGGCTTTTTCTTTACCTGTGGTCACCTCCACAACTATATGTGCATTTGTGTGTTCTTTTCTGTTCTGCACTGCATGTTTAATCAAAAACCTTACTAGAAAGCTGTGAGGACTCAACTGATATATTTGTAAAGCCCAAATGTTTTTTTATGTTTTTCTTCTTCTTGAGTGAAATGAGAGCTTTTATGAAAAGATTAAAGCATGTCTGAGTCACAGTTGTATTAATTTAAAACTCAGATTACAGTACTGATAAGCTCAGCTTTACCCACATAGCAATAATAAGATTTTATCTAGTCCATACACACACTCTCTCACTGCACCTCCACCCAAGAGTGAACCCTATCTTCATCATGTGCACGAGTACTCAACCCCTGCACAGCCCTCCTCCAGGGATGTCATCACTAACGGGGGTCAGTAGGTCAGGTTATGACACTGTAGCTGGTGCACATATCTGATGACCCGCAATCACCACTGTTACAGTGGGCCGCTCGGGGCTCCCTCATGTTATTGTTAAGCACTCTCAGGGAGTATGTCCAGCTTAAAAATGTTAGTGTGTAAACGCTTGCCTAACCACCACCACTCTGAGTTAAAAATCATTTTGTATCGACTGTTGATTAAATAAACTTGTGATTTAATATGTCCAAAAGTATCCAGACACTTCTTCTAACTAGTGAATTCATCTACTATGGTGGCTGACATAGGCATTCAGCACATATACAGCTTGTGTGATCTCATTGATCAGTAGAATGGGACACTTTGGAGAAGCCGCACATGACTCTAAGGTCAAAATGCTCAATGCCAAGTCCCCCAGCACTGGGCTGTGGACAAGTGGAACTGTTCTCTGGAGTGATGGTGCTCCATCCAGTATCTTTGGGATGAGTTGGAGTAATCCAGAACTGATCATCCAACATCAGTATCTGACCTCACTAATGCTCCTGTGTCTGAATGCAATCAAATTCTTACAGCAACGTTCCAAAATCTAATGTAAAGTCTTCCCAGAAGAGTAGAGGCTGTTACTACAGAAAAGGTCATATCAATACCTCTGATTTGAGAATAAACACTGGATGAACAGGTGTCTACATTTGGAAAGTGATGGCAGATTTACTAAAATAGGCATTAATTACTGACAGTCTATAAACATTTTGTGCTAATAGTGTTATCTACTAAGAACTTCCATGCAAATGAAAACCAGTGAAACTTCACAATCACCATACAGTATGCAAAAGTTTGAGCTCCCCTAGTCAAATGACATTTTGCTGATTTTTAAAGTGAAATTAACACATTCTTTACAGGAAATAAACTTAAATATGCCATTTTTTCTGCATATTTTAGTGGACAGTTTCTTTATTTGCTACGTTTAACATATTGGAAACAAACAAAACATAATTTAATAATTTAAACTAATATAAAAAAGGCCACATTTTCCGTTTTGTTTTCCAATATGTTAAATTCAGTAAATAAACAGTAATTGTGCATCAAAATGTGTAGACGTGTTCTCTGTACAGGATATGTTAACTTATTTTCACTTAGATAATAAACAAAACATGTTATTTGAGTGGGATGCCCAAATGTTTGCACATGACTGTAAAGTTTATTGATAATGACAATTATCAGTAAATGTTTATTGGTGAGAACAAATTATACCATACACTGCCTGCTGTTATCATTTAGAAGGTGGTGTGTGGTGGCTTAATTCTGATTATTGTTTTTTGCTGTTTTTTCAGTGGACTGGCCAAAGCTCGGGTCATGGCGTATTTTGGAGAAGGGGAGGGGCCTATTCATGTTGATAATGTGAAGTGCACTGGTAGCGAACGCTCACTGGCTGATTGCATCAAACAGCCGTTCGGAACCCATAACTGTCGCCATAGCGAAGATGCTGGGGTAATCTGTAACTATGGGCAACTGGACAACTCTGCTGGGGTCAAAGGTGAGACTGACATTTTTCATCATGTTGGGGGTAAATTCAGTGTTTATTCACTTTAAAAACTTCTGTGTTGTTACTTAACCTTGCTGGGGCGCAGTTAGAGACTGCAGCTTATCAGTTTGTGTTAATCATTAGTGGTCAGTTTCAGACCACAGAGATGCTCTTGACTGGATATCTTTTGGGTGGTGTACCACTCTTAACCTAGCAGTGTCTTGACTCTGGTCCCTCCGGTGTGTTATATATGCTCTGGAGAAACTGATGACAGAGTGAAGTTTATTCACTAGTCCTGTGTGGTCCCTGTTAGTCATGTACTGAGTTAGTTTCATATTTACAGATTGAGTTTTGTTCACTGTTATACTTATTAGTTTATAGCCTGCGGTTATCGGTTAACTGTTATCCATTAGCATTTTGTTCATGTCTTTGAAGCAGAGCATGCGAGTGGTGCAGGGAGTGGGGCTTTTCAGAAAGTTGGAGTGTTAGTGCTCTCACTCGTTCCGAAACTTCTCCATTATCATTCCATCCTGTGAGCCAGACATTCCTTTTTTCCACGCTGACTGTCTCTGCGTGACATTAGTGACGTGGCAGTGACTGCTACAGCTTATGCTTGATATAGTGTAGTAGGTAACACCTCTGCCTTCTATGCTCGAGACTGGAGTTCAGTCCCCCTGCCTGGGCAAGCGCTCTGCACTTTGCCAATAAGAGTCCTTGGGCAGGACTCCTAACACTATCAAAAAATTGGAATTTGCTCTGGATAAGAGTGTCTGCCAAATGCCATAAATGAAAAAATGTAAGCTTGCACACGACCGTCATACACTGCATCCGCACTGCAGAGCTGTTCAGCAGTGGAAGTACAATGTAGGTTTAACTAATAAACTGGCGAGTGAGTGGAAGTACAATGTAGCTGTTTCTAGTAAAGTGGCCAGTGAGTGGAAGCACAGAGTAGGTGTTTCTAATAAAGTGGCCAGTGAGTGGAAGCACAATGTAGGTGTTTCTAATAAAGTGGCCACTGAGTGAAAGCACAATGTAGGTGTTTCTAATAAAGTGGCCAGTGAGTGGAACCAGGATTGCTATTCAACAGATTTGACAACAAATGGGCTAACAGCAAAATGGCATTTCAGTTTGCTGAACACAGGAAAGTTAACATTCAAACACCAGGACACAATGGATGGGTATAAACTTTAAGTTAAAACTTAAGGCTACGCTGAAACTATGTTACTTGGTGCAACTGTGTTCAAACTTGGCTACGACTGAACTTACATTCTGCTGGTGCAACTAGCTACTGGTGTGTTTTCTCGTCATATCACATCTTATTAACATGCTTGTGTCACAATACATATTGTATTATGCCCTGTCCCAGCCCTGTCCACCGCCTAAATAATATCAGGTCAGCTGACCAATAATGAACAAAGGCTTATAAAGTGTGCAGCAATGTAAGGGGCCAGTGAGTGGAAGTACATGGTAGGTGTTTCTAATAAAGTGGCCAGTGAGTGGAAGTACATGGTGGGTGTTTCTAATAAAGTGGCCAGTGAGTAAAAGTACAATGTAAGTGTTTCTAATAAAGTTGCGAGTTAGTGGAAGCACAAGGTAGGTGTTTCTAATAAACTGGCCAGTAAGTGGAAGAAAAAGGTATGTGGATAGTGGAAGTGAGGTGTAGGGGTTTATATGTATATTCCATGACATTACACTTACCGTTCCATGAAAAATGGCAAATGCATTACTGAAGTATTGCAGCAACACACAGAAGTTATGAATCTGAGGTTATATTTCTGCATTTCTTTTATACTTATCTATCATATTACTACACACTTTACCATCTGGACAAACAAAGACAGAGGAAGACAGATATGAAGGGATGATAAATGAGAAGGAGAAGGTGAACAGGAGGAAACTATTACCTGAGTGTCTCTCTTACGTTCTTGCTTTTTAATGTGTCACACACACTCAGCAGTGTGTAGGTGTGTGTGCTTGTCTGGTTTTGAGGATGTGGTTACTCCACATGTTCTATAACTGCGCACACACATGCACATGAGCTCAGTTTATGGTTTATTTAACATATCAGTCTACTAATTTAATAACACATCAGACTGGGCTGCTTTTTCCATTAACTTGTGTTAGTCTGTAAGTCCTGCTCATTCATCCAGAGTCTCTTATATATACTAAAACACTTGTGCGCAAACAAAATGCATTCCATAAAGCATGTGTATGTGGTTATTTTCATACATTTCCACACAGAATAACAGGACCAACAAAAAAGTCCTGTTTTTGTTTGATTTTTTTTAACTATAAAGGCAAAATCACTGCTTTTGGGTACTGAGGTTAAGTTTAGGGTTATATTAGGATTAAGTATCGAAAATGTGGTTATGTCTCTCAAAGATGAAAGCTTTAAGTACTGTTTATCTGATGGGGACAGTTTTGGTGGTCTACCAGGTGGCAGGTGGTTTGACTGGAAATTAAATAAATGGATGACTTTTGCATAGTACTATATATATCATATGTATAGAATGTAATTATTATCACATATAGGTACCTTACACACCGAGCAGCCACTTCATTAAAGCACCTCCTTGTTTCTACACTCATTGTCCATTTTATCAGCTCCACTTACTATATAGGAGCACTTTGTAGTTCTACAGTTACAGACTGTAGTCCATCTGTTCTTCTGTGTTAGTTGTTAAAATGGACAGTGAGTGTAGGAACACAGCGGTTCTTTAATTGAAATTACTGCTTGGTGTATATATTTAAAACACAAGGGTCATATTATTATTACAGATATACAGAAACATATATAGGATATACATATGGTCGTGTGGACTGGCACTATATAAAATGTGTGTGTGTGTGTGTTGCAGAGGTAGCGAGCTCTGTGTGTGGTCTGAGGCCTGCACACACTCGTCAGAAGAGGATCATTGGTGGAGAAAACTCTCTACGGTAAGCAGAGAGTGACAGTTCTAAACATTGAGCCCAAAAACAAACAAAGGAAACTCAAACCAACTGAAAGAAAGAGAGAGAGAGTGAGAGAGAGATAGAGAAAGACAGAGAAAGAGAAGAAAAAGAGAGAGAGAGCAGATAAACCTCACAGGATGAAACAGATCCTGTACTAATACATATTTGATCTTTAAATGTTTTAAATGTTTTTGTAGTGTATATGTTGCCCTACCTGTATCAACATGTATACAGCATGTATAGCTTATTTCAGATTTATGTGCATGTATTTAGAGTGTGTGACACCCTGATGGGAACTCTGACACTCTGACTAATGTTAAACATGCCATGGACATCTGGTGTATATATTTATGTGTGTTTAAATAAGTACATGTGGAATTGGATTTTTATGGTACACATTCAGCCTCTACTAAATCTCCGTCTATTATTATAGGGTTTGATTGATTGGGTGTGCGTGGTGCAACATATTTAGTAGTTTGAATGTTCAGAAACACATGTAGTGAAAAAGTGGACCATTTGAATTAGTTAAATCTGAGGTCCTACAGTTAAAAAAAATATTTAAAAAACTTTAGGTATTTACAAGGATCATGTTATTGAAACGTCAGGTAGAACTCCAAGTCTGACTTTCAACCAGTTCAGTAGAATATAGATGTCAGATCATGTCTGTTTGCCTTCTTGCAAAGCACAGATAAAAAAGGCAAAATCTAATTCAGTATGAACTACCAAAGGAAAGGACAGCAGTGATCTACACATATGGTTGTGGGCAAAAGTTTGAACAGCTGATAATATAAGTGAAAATATACTGCAATTTTTTGCAGTATGTTAAATTCAGCAACTAAACAGTAATTGTGCATTAAGATGTGCATTGCTAAAGAAGTGTGTTCTCTGTAGAGGATGTATTATTTTCACTTCAACAAAACATGTCACTTGACCAGAGGTGCCCAAACTTTTATTTTGTAGGGCTGCAACTATATATGAATATTCTGAAAGCATAATTAACGATTAAGATGTAATCATGTCATTCGGAGTGGTTTGGTGTGAAATGCCCTGTTCTAGAGAAACTTGTGGTCAGGATCGTTCACAGTGGTGGTGATAGGAACCAGACATCAAAAGAGCTGAGTTTAACATACTGTAAATTAACATAAAATGTGCCTTTGCACACTTCAAATTATGTATTTTTTAATGCAAAATTCAGCAAATAAACAGTTATTGTGCATTAAAATGTGCAAATGTGCATATAGTTTGACCAGGGCCCAAACTTTTGTGTACGACTGCAGGTGCTTTTGTAACCCTTGATGCTTTATTAATGGATCAGTACAAAAACGACCTGTTTATTTCCATTTCTGTGAATATACACTGAAACTATAAGTGAGGTCTAAATGCAGTGCTGCTGTAATGTTTGTGTGTTGTAGGGGGGGCTGGCCGTGGCAGGCTGCCGTACGTCTGCGTGGGTCTCAGGCGGATGGACGTTTGGTGTGTGGAGCCACTCTGATCAACAGCTGCTGGGTCCTAACATCCGCGCACTGCTTTAAGAGGTAAACACACACGTTAATGTGTCTTAGACATGTACATCACCACCGTCGGAAAAAAACATTCTCAACTTATAATGGAAGTTACTGTAACATGATTTTTCCTAGTAATTTTGGGCCATTTCTAGATCCTGAATGACTTTACATCGAATACATCCATTGACGCACTATTGAAAGGCAGCTTTAAGCTAGCTGCCTTTCACAAAAACATGGCAAGAAAAATCTGAGGGTACAGTAACATTTACTGTGACATTATCACACAGTGTAAAGGACAGCGGATGTTTTCACATTATGTGGGGGAAAAAAAGACAAAAATGGGGAGGATTTGTCCTGAGAGTGATGATATGGTCTGCTTTATTATACAGTTTTATCCTACTTCTATATCTAGTTCCATATGCTACTTCAGACTTTTTCATACTAGAGTTTTCCCAGACCCAGGGCCGCTTTCTCTGCGAGTTTGGTACGTGTAGTCAAGTGGGAAAGCTGTTTTTGAGACTGAGAGGAGCCCAGAAACCCAATTCCTTTTCCTCCTGAAAAGGAGGCTAAAGAAGTAGAGCGAACTCTGGTGCGGTCTGCTGTGTGTATGGAAGCTCTCCGCTTCTGGTGTGACATGTGGGACTGTGTGATTGGTTCCTTTTTTAGCGTGACTGCTTCAACTTACTGCATCACGTTTTTCTGAGTAAATAAATGCTTACTATTCAGATAAACTTTTTTTTTTAAATCAATTTTTCTCAGATACCTAAACCATTTGCACTCCACTGTAGAGTATATTTACAGGAACAAAAGCAATTCTCCTATAGACATACAATGTAACATGAAAGAATTTCTAGAATAATCAAGATTACAGATCTTTGTAGTGTATTTCATGTAGGGTAGCCATATGACAGTCCCATGAAGTCACAATAATGTATCAGTATATGCCTAATAAAACAACACTTTCATAGGACTGGAGCAAGGCTACTATAATAAGCTCACCAACCATGGCACCTTTCACAGCAAAGCAAGTAAAGTTATCCTGTAGTGAATTGTGACCAGCAGGGATGTGCGTATTGCCCCAATCTGAATCTGATTCCTCTGAAGCATTGGTTGATATTGTTTGATATGATATTTGCATTTTTTGATAATAGAGCCAGAAAGTGCATACTTCATATACATTAAAGTTAGTAAAAAACACAATGCAATTTATGTAAGATAAGCTGGGCTGCAAATTACTTTAAAATGCTACAGTAAAGATGCAACAACTGAATTGTGCAGAAAGTTTGAAATATCAGTGGAATGCCCCTTTAAGTGCGGCCCAAAACACTGGACTTTTTGCAGAGAAAAAGTAAGTGGCTCATGGGATTTATTTGCACTTTAAAGTAGTTCCACATTGCAGACATTTAAATCACTTCTGAAGTTATAAAACGTTAAGTTGTGCTGTAAATTGTGAATAATGTGCCATCTGTGACAGTAGCCTAAATAGAGTGTAATGGTGTATAATAGCTTATTGGAATTGGATCAGGCTTAAAGGTGCATTCTGGCCTAAAGCTGTGATTCACAGAGTTTTATTAGAATCTGTAGCTCAGCATTGTGTGCCTCAGTTTCATCAGTTTGACAAAATTCACATGTATTCTTTCTATGTTTCTGCTCATCACTGTTCTCTTACTACAATATCCAGCATGCATTACGCAAATACATCACACATCCATTGGCAATCCCTCTCCTAACACCACAATGTCAAAGAAATCCTGAATGCTAGGGTATCAAGCGTTGGAGAGGCTTAATAAATACAGCTGTGATATTTGACATAAAAACCAGTGTTAGATCGATAGCTGGCTAAGCAAGAAAACCTGCTTCCTGAGACAGGGACATCAGAAACAGACAGAACAAAAGGCATGAAGTAGTAACTCCAAAAACATAACACTCGCACTGTGCTATAGTGTCCATAGCAACATACCAAGATGTGATGAATGAGTTCTTTGTAATATTACTTTATATTATTTTAAATGCAGCTCAAACCAAAAGATCTAATATGTATATAAAAAGTTTTCCTCAGCGATACTGAATGGCTTTCAGCTCACAACAGAACGAGTCCCTGGTCACTCTGGTCCATATTGGTCACAAGCTTAGATGTACAGTTATATGCAAAAACTTTGGGCACTCTAGGACAAATGACAAATGGAAAAAAAAGTTTGGACACCCTTCCAGTTGTGAGGTCTCAGAACTCATTAGGTTATAATTGACTCATTAGGACTGCTTAAGAAGGTCAAGAGCTGGTTTGGAATTGTCAGCTGATGATAATGCCAGAGTGTAATAAATTCTCTGACTCTTCTAACATTATGCACGTTTAACAACCAAAGTGGTACTCTAAGCAGCTGGCTGAGGATCTGAAAGTGAAGCTAATTGATGGGGAACACAATAAAAAGATATAAAACTCTTCCAGCTTGCAGGTTCCACTGTATGAATTGTCATTGAGAAATGTCACTGTGAAAGTCAGGGCAAGATCTGGAAGGCCAAGTAAACACTCAGACAGAACTGCTGGTATGCTGGTAAGGCCAGAAAGGCAAAGCAAAACCCCCATATGACAGGAAAGGACCTGCGGGAAGGACAGTGATGTTATGGATCAAGTTAATCAAATATAAAGAAACTGTGAATTAATGTTTGCAATTTTTTTTCATAATAGTCTGCTGTAGTGGTTGCGTTTAGTTTTCCATTAAAAAAAATCAACAAAGTATGTCATTTGGCCCAAACCTTTGCACACAACTGTATGTTTTACTTAAGTTCTTCTGTAAGACCTTGAGCCTGCTCATGAATTTCCACATGACTATGAGTAATGCGTTAGTCTTACAGTGAGAGAGAGAGAGTGAGAATTCAATCTGGTCTCTATCAAACTGCCCTCACCAAAATATAAGCCATGACATCAGACTGCTGCTAAAGTTCCCACCACCTTCACCGCCAGACACATACATAGAACTGTACACACACAGCTCTCGCGCTCTTGTTGTTTGTTGTGCGCAGACACCAAACAAATGGATATAACAGCAATTATAAGCTGTTGCAGCAATGTGTCAGTTGCTTTAAATCAGTGGAGATTGTTAGGTCTGAGAAGACTAAAATTAGTCCCTCACTTCCGAGTTTGTGGAGTGTAACATTACAGAGAGGCTTGCGCAGAAATAACCCTCTCACTGCGCACACACGCACATGCTCACAAACAAACAACAAACTATTTTTATGTTGTATGCCCACTCCTGGATGTCAGCCAATCATAATTAAATCTTAACTGTTTTGATTAGCGCTGTATTAACAGGCAGGAAAGTCTTTTGGTTAAGTATTGTTATTAAGCCCTGACCACAGTTTCTGACCATAGGACCGTTGTTGTCCAGATAATATCCATCCCAGAGAGATTCTGTAGTCAGAAACAAACCATAATAAAGGATCAGAAATTGTATATGATGAGCCACAGTTCTAACTGTACACCAGCAAGGAGCTGCAAGGTATGGAGTTTTGAATAAAGTGGCCAGTGAATGTACATTTAAAATACAGTTAATATTTACGTTTAAAATGTTTACACTTTAAACATGCAGATTAAACGTATCATTTTGGAATTACATATGACAGCTTAAATGTACTTAAATTCATAATCAAGCTATGATGAAATGTATATTAAATGCATTTAGTGCTTTTGAATTTTTTTAACCCGTTGCAGATGTTTAAGTATGTGATTTGTACACACTGTTATTACACTTGGAATATATTGTAAATATATTACTGGATGTGCTGATGTTCAGTACAACATATTGAGTTACACTACAGTTGAAATTCACTTTTAAATTATATTTAAATACTGCTAAATGCAAGAAATAAAACGTATTTAAGTGTACTTCAGTGCAGTTTGTAGATATAGACATATATATATATATAGCTGTACTTCAATATAGAAATAACTAAACACAACTTGCATACTTAAATTATATTTAAGTCATGTTGTATTACATCTTCTAAGCTTATAAGTGCTTTTCTGTCCTACACTGAAACAACTTATGTTTTAATGAAGTTATGTTAACTCGAGTATTTGTTAAAACACAAATTCTACTACACTGGAAACTATTCTTTAATAATAATAATATAATATTTTAAATATTGGATTTACCCATATTTGATTGCTAGTTAGTTTGAGTCATACTGCAGCTAAAATGTACTAAAGCACACTTTAGAAGCATCATTTAAAATGTATTATTTAAAAAATATAGTTTTTGAAATATATATAGAAAAGTATATTTTAGGTGTATTTTTAATACATGTAATGAAAATGTACTTTCTCTATACTTCAAGTTCATACTATTGTACTTCATACTATTGAGGTACTTAAGTATGCTTCTTTTTTCGCAAGGGTTAGGCATCTGAGCAACTGTTTTAAACCACTTATCTGGGCAATAAATGTTTTTGCTTCAAAAAAACACTGTATAGCTTTAGCTGAAAGACAAAAGTAGTGCATTAAAAATTAAAAAAGGAAGAATTTCCTGTTTTTAAAGAAGTAGCTCATGAATCAAAGTTTGAAGACTCACTGGTCAAATTACATTTTGTTGATCTTCTGACTGAAAATAAGTTAACATGTTCTCTACAGGGAATAAACTTAAATATGATATCTGCAAATACTAATGCACAATTTTTAGATATTTTCATTTAGAAAATCAACAAAACCTGTAATATGCCCAAACCTTTGCGTATGACTGTATCTCGTTAGCTAGTTTTTTCAAGATTTCTCCTCGATGCTGCCAGCCATTGCCTGAATTTGTTGAATTCCAGCACCAGCACACCTGATTCAATTTAATGAGCATTGATTAGCAAAATCAGGTGTTGGATGAAAACCACAGGTAATACTGGTTGCCATGAGGAGAGGTTTGGGAGGGCTTATGTGAACACATTAACCTACATACAAGCAATATCTGTTATATCAATGTTATCTGTATTTATTTTAATATTACTATTTGTTCTGAGCAAATGAACACTGCCCAGATCAAAATCAGTGATTTTCTCAAGTGCCTACAACTCTTGCAAAGTACTGTATACTTTGAAATAATTTGAGCAACAGTGTTCAATCACTGTTTTCAGCTATTATCTGATTGGTTAAGTTATCTAAACGCTTGGCTGTGACTGATTTATTTTCTCACCTGGTTGCAATTAGTTTAGTTCCCCTGTCAGTCAGTTTTGATTGGCTGAGTTACCTGGTCATGGGGTGAAGTTGATGCTCTAAGCATTTACTTGAGTAATAGTCTGGCCGCTAACTTAAAAGCTGGATTATGTTTCGTAAGGTCAGCACACGCTGTAATCACCTACCGAGGGGACTGGGAGAGTCTCTCAAAAGCACTGCAGCACAAAGATTATCTTAAATGGGGCGCGTTTCACTTTGAACACCAACTCTAGTAGTTTAATCATACTGTACTGTGGTTTTAAGAAATATGGCCAGAGCTGTAAGGTAGTATGCATGTAGAAGAAAGGTGGTCTGTTGTGAATGCTTACTTTGGCACCCTTCTTATCTAGCACTTTGTTTTTGGCCTGTATTTGTTGTATATGTGTAATTATGTGTTTATTTATGTTTCCATAATGTCCAGTTCTTTTGTAGTGAACAAGCATCCTAAAAGCACCTTATTGCACCTTACCCAAATGCTCTGGGCTGTTTCTTAAAGCACCCCACTATAGCATTGAAATTTTTAAATGTACCCTAATATAGCATTCCATCATAATCTAACACCCACATTTTCTAAAAGCACAATAAATTTCCCCAAAATTTCACTCAAGCACCAAAATTTCCTAAAAGCACCCAAAATATAAAAAAGCACTCAACTGTAGCACCCACATTTCCAAAAAGCACTCTACTATAGCAGCCTAATTTCCAAAAAGCACCTTACTTTATCACCCTAATTTCCAAAAAGCACTCTACTATAGCACCCAAATTTCCAAAAAGTACCTTAGGCACCCTACTTTCCTAAAGCACCTTACTGTAGCACTCTAATTCCCCAAAGCACTCTACAGTAGCACCCAGATTTTCCAAAAAGCACTCAGTTTTATCACCCTAATTTCCAAAAAGCACTCTGCAGCCTAAGCAGCCTAATTTTCTAAAGCATTTTACTGTAGCACCCTAATTTCCCATAGCACTTTACTAGCACTAGATGTTAAAGGATCGATACTTGATATTTATCTAACTTTAAGCCGATCCTGAGAGCTGATCAGTGTTGTGAAACATATGAGCCCTATTTTTCCTGAGGTGCCAGAATGTAACGTTAACTGCTGCACCATTTAAGATGGAACAGGAAAATTTGAACAAGATCAAAGCTGGTGAACAGAAAGCTTCAGCTTTGTCATGTTTCACTAATGAAAAACATTTTTCCTGAAGGATATTATTACATATTTGGCTCCTATTTCGTTGCAAACTTGCTGTGTGAACATGTAGAGCTGTGATTAAGGCGGTTTATTGTTAAAGCTTTGAGGATTCATTTCTGTTAGCATGTTAGCATCAGAGTGCTAGTCTTCGCATAGCTTACACTGCACTAGCTTCCTGACCTACAGATTTGGCAGGAGCTGAAAATTGAAATAAGATGAGGAACTACAAAAGAGACTGTATGTCAGCCCTTTTTATCCCATCTTTAAAAAATAGTGAAGCAGGAGGACCGTTTTGTCCTGTTAGCTGCACCAGTTGTGTAGGGATTGAGGAGGTTGCTCTATTTCTGCTCGAAAGGTTGGTAGCTAACATTAACTCATTTTTTGTAGTTTCACAGAACCAATAAGTGAGTACTGTTTTGTCTTGTTTGGTAATGTTTGTTATAGCTAATCCCAAGTTGGTTAGTTTCATTGCAGCAATTGTAGTGACCGTTTGCTAACCCACAGCCTAGCTAGCTAATGTTAGTTAACTGTTAGCTACATTACTTGCTTTGTCGTTGTTTGCTCTAACGTTATATCTCGGCATTTGTCCGTACAACAGGGTTTTATGGCCATGAAGATCTAAAAAAATGATGTTCGCTTTGGCAATGTGCGTCCATGAATTTAGGAGACAGAGCTTCTGAAGGAGCACTAAAGAGAGGGGTGTATCTTGTTACCCAGATAGCAGACAGTTTTGGGCCGATTCTGGTTTCCCTATGTGAGTGTTGGTTGACTACCGGGTAGATGTTAGGCATGTGGGCCAGAATAGGGTCAGATCCTGGACAGCTTCATACTATTTTGGCTCGTGTCTACATTTGTGGAACAATTCTGGCATAAATATTGTGAACCAACAATGTAGTTGGGCCAGATTGGGACCAGATTTGGGCCATATCCTTTAGTTCTACTCACTTTACAGTGTGTGGGCCAGATCTGGGCCGGAGACCCAGCCATATAGTGGGCCAGAGCAAACCAAGGATGTGGCCCACAAGTGAGCCAGACACATTTTGCTAACGGGGGGTATTCATTCTGTAGAATTGCTTACTGCGCCTTTAAATGTGGCGCCCTCGATCAGTATCGGCTATCGACCGATCGTGCTGAAAGGCGATTGGTGATTGGTACGGGCCTCAAAAGCACAGATTGGTCCATCTCTATATAGCACCTATCTATCGTATCTATCTATCTATATATCTAAAGTCAGCTCTGCATTGTCCAAACACGTCATTATTATAGTATGATAATTGAGCTGATCCTTAGTCAGTACTGTTACCCTTTGGTGGAGTGGAGGCTGTCCTCTGTGGAACGCTGCAGAGGCTTTGGGGAATGTCCTGCTGATCCTCCACTGACTGTGCCAGAAAGCAGCCTGGCATTCCGCAGGAGGCAGCGAAGTTTCCGGTAAAAAAACCCCACCATGTAACGGGACACTGCACTCCCTGTCTACACTTCCGCTGCACAGGGATGATTTCGGTCGTTAACAAGCAGGAGGGACACACACACACACACACACACATACTAGAAATAAAAACAAATACTCATAGATTAAATTTAATGGGTGGAGCATGTTACACAGACCAGTGTTAAAAAATAATTTGTTATTTTAGCCTTGCAGTTAGCCTTCTGTAACTTTGTCACCACAGTCTCTTTTAGGATTCAGTTTAATTCAGTTTTATTTGCATAGACAAGGAACCATCCGCAACTTATAATGGATAGTTTTAGTTTGAGATATCTATATGGGTTTAAATGGCAGACCATATGACTCTATATACAGGGTTTGACAAGGTGGTGGTAGTGAATGGGCTGTCCGCCTGAGAGAGGCTTCGCCTGTAAGGAGCTGATGGCAAGGTGTTTGGTTTCACTGGAAGACTGCTTGTATGTTTCCGTTTTTGCTCCGCTTTGGTTGACAGGAGCTTCCTGACTCCGTGAGGGGACGTGTCATTTGAGTGACATGCCAAGGAAATGAACTGCTTCTGTGTGGAAGATGTCATTTGAGAGGCATGATCACTCTCATAACTGTACATCCTTTACTTTATTAAAAACCCTCTCCTTGTAGCTTAACCATGCTGGTGGACAAAAATGAGTTTTTTCCCACCAGGCAGTGCGCAGGGCTGGGAAGTAATGGAATACAAGTATTCCGAATATAGAAATTAAGTGTCTGTATTAGTCCAAGTTGTGCAAAGGTATTCATAATACAGTTAAACTGTATGGCCACAAGTATGTGGACACCTGAGCATCACACCTATATGAGCTTGTTCAACATCACCAAAACCATGCTCTCATATTCACAGTCAGTGGTGTCTGTAGGACTAGAGCAGTGGTTGCCAACCCTGATCCTGGAGAGCTACCTTCCTTACCTTGAGATAGATGTATTAGAGTTAAGTAAGTAGAGTGGCAGCTTATTGGATATAGGTTGGAACTAAACTCCAAAGGATAGTAGCTCTCCAGGACCAGGTTAGGAGACCATGATGTTATTTTCTCAGGAAATTGGAAATCAACTGTTGGAAGTCAAAACATTATCGGTTTATTCCTCTGTTTCTTCATAATTAAGCTGATAGTAATCTAACGTGTTAGAACTTCTTTTCAGCTCCTGAAGTCCTAACCAAAGGCAGAGCTCGCTCAACTATATCTACCACAGACTACAAACAGAGAAAGACAATTCCTGTTTATCATTAGGCCTGCTCTGAAGGCCTAGAAGGACCTGAGGGTTCCCCTCTGGTAATTTCTTAAGAGACAATATATGATCAAGATAAGTTTGTGTGATTATGTGAATAAAACCTACACAGTTATTAGAGATGATTAGAGTGTAGAGTTGGTGTATATGATAAAAGAAATAACTCTCACACTCTTTCCATCTCTCTCTCTCCGTCTCTCTCTCTGTCTCTCTCTCTCTCTCTCTCTCTCTCTTTCTCTCTCTCAGATATGGGAACAGTACCAGGATGTATAAGGTGCGAGTTGGAGACCACCACACGCTGGTCCCTGAAGAAAATGAGGAAGAGTATGGCGTGGACAGAATCATCCTACACCCACACTACCACCCCCATAGCAACGACTACGATCTGGCTCTGGTGCGTCTTGTGCGGCACGGAGGCTCCGGGGGTCCTGGGGGCCACGGTGGGGAGTGTGTGCGGCAGAGTCGCTCTGTGCTTCCTGTGTGTTTACCTGCACGGAGAGAGAGAGTGCCCAAAGGCTCGGCCAACTGCTTCATCACCGGCTGGGGAGACACAGGTCAGAGATACAGTGTGCACGAAGACACTCACACATCCATTAACACTGTACATACAACATACTGTGGACATTATAGAATATATTGTCACTGTAACGGAAACAAATGTTGAAGTTCATGTATGGAGCAGTTGAAAATGTAAAAAGCATAATTTCCTCATATTTTTAGTTATATTAATATATTTTAACATTTTTTACCTCTCCAAAAAGTTACCATTTCAAATTTGTTTTCCTACAATAGTAGTGACTCTATATAAACTCTAAATTCACAGATATAAATAATGTTCACAACAATGTACCAGTGCAACACACTAACACACCACCAACATGTCAGTGTCACTGCAGTGCTGAGAACCATCCACCACCCAACACAGTACCTGTGTGCTCTGTGGTGTTCCATGCATGCAGAGAAACAGACTACAGTCTGTAATTGTAGAACTACAAAGTGCTCCTATATAGTAAGTGGAGCTAATAAAATGGACAGTGAGTGTAGAAACAAGGAGGTGGTTTTATGAAGTGGCTAATTGGTATATGCATATTTCTGATGAGTTGCTGTAAAATACACATATAATACTTTTGGAGTAGGAGAAGGCGACCAAATGCATGTTTTACGGATCTGTTTTACTACACAAAATGTTTTGTCACATGAAAATGTGCATATCCATATTTCACATCCACATTTTTTAATGATAATGGTAATAATGTTACCATACACCATATTACAAAAACCTCATTAGACAGTTAATTTTACTGCTGATTAATTTGGAATTTTTATCACTTATTGGCAATTGGCAGTCAGAAGTCATGCAGACTTTTAGAAAGACAATGAAAGAATTGACTTCTTATCATTTACAACAAAATCATCAACCAGATGTATTTGCAGAAAACACTGATTCCACAGTGCACTGATCCAGACGGATAATGTGTATGTTTGAAGTCTGTAACTTTCACTAAAGCCTGAGTCTGAACTTTCAGTAATTTGCAGACTTATTAAATAGATTTTATATAATGACTGAGAAAGATTTTAATACAGCTGACATATTTATATTACAGTCTTTAATTGCTTTGTTTGTAACACATCTGTTGAAGATCAATCTAACTGTTAAAATATTGTGATTCCATTTTGGAGTTGGAATTGTTTATTCCTAAGTCTGCATCTAAATAAGCAGCTGAGTTGCAGCACATGTTGCCTTTTTGTGTGTGTCATTCTTTTCTACTTTTGTTTTCACTGATAACCATCTGTATTTAGGCAAGGTGAAAACAAAGTCAAATCAGACTGGAAAAACATTCTGTGTGCTTATTTACCGAGTATGAAATTGATCGTTTGATGCACATGCCAAAATGCAGTTTTGCTGGTGACTGTGTTGAAGTTGAGATTGTGCGGGTCATTTGCAGAATGAGGCGTGTAGACTTGTATCTATGAAACAGCTGTGTTTGAGCAGCAACTATAGTCATTATATCATCGGCCTAAAACGCTTATAAACACTGATTACACTTAGAAGGCTTGTGTTTGAGAGAATGACATGCTAAACCCTTTTCTGACGGACGAGAGCCCTTTGAGCATGTCTGTGATGAGGCGTCTGCGTGCGTGTTGTCTTTGGGAAGCCTGGTGATGTCATGTGTGTCCAGCTGTGAGTCTACTGAGACAGACGTAGATAGGACAAACATTCCAGTTTCAAACATCAGTTTTACACACACTCATAGAGACAGACATTGAATGTCACAGTATTTTCAAAATATTTCATAGTATAACTGTATTTGACAATTTCTAAGCATGCTTTAATAAAGTTATTAGGGTTATCTATGTCAAATTTATTATAATATATTGATTGCATTGATAATCAGTGTTTCAAAAAAGAGGCCAAACAATATAGATTTAACTGCATCAGACAGTTCAGAACCTTCCAAAAGAAAAAGAATGACATGACATGTTTTCATTTATCCTGTAAAAGTTTGTTCTCTTCTATTGAAGAGTTGAAAGAGTATTCAAAGAGAAAACTTGGTGAAAGACATTATTTCCAAGGATGTGAGTGAGTGATCAACTAATGTCATCAGTATAATGATGATTTTTATACCTAAACATCGAACCAGATCTTTTTGAGTCTGTGTGTGACGTTAATACGTAAAGACGTATGACGTGCTCTAAAAAACTCTTTTAGGGCTTATTCACACTTGTCCCGCACACTTTAGTCCGCACCCAGGACTGATTCTGGGCTCCTTTTCGGAGAGGGGCTCATTATCGAAGGTTTCCTTTCACACAAAAGAATTCCATGGCAACTGCGCAATTCCATACATCACTTTTCAGCATGCAGGTTTGCAAAATGGTAGGCACTAGTTTCACCCGTTTTCTGCTTTTTATTATTTTTCTTTGATACTAACACTCATGCAGTGAAGTACAGCGCGTTTTGGATACATGGCATTTTGCTGTGCGGGTCATCTTTTCTTTCCTCACATCTCCCAAAGGTTTTTAACTAGATTGAGAGCTGCTAAATCCGGTCTGATTTCTGGTTTCCGTCAAATCATCCTTGTGCCCTGTGGATTGTCATCCTGGAAGAGAGCACTCCCACGAGGAATCAAAATATTTTATCATAAGATAAAAGTGATCAGTCAGAATAACATTGTACTGATTTGCAGTGATCCGTCCACCCAGGGGACAAATAGGCCCAACACAAGCCAGAATACCATTCTCCTGGTCTATACCAGACATGCTCACGCACACTTGTAACCATGTTAACATGCTAAAGGTTGAGGCCCATTTTACATCAGATGTGGTAATTGTTCTGCATGATGCACTCCTATATTAATCAGTGTAGCCATTCACACTGGCTGCGTGCTGTGTTAACACGTGTGTGGTGCAAATAAGCTTTGGGTCTAGATTTACTTGACGGTTTTTAACAGATAAAGAACAACAACTCTTAGTTGATTTATAATTACTGTTGAAATTGTAAAATTATCTTATAGCTATACATAACATGATGGGAATGCTAGCAACACTCACAGCAGCAAGTCAGGTTTTTATTGTTGACCTCTTTCAAACAGTTAACAGCTAATTTAACAGCTATGCTCAAATGTTGTACAAACAAACAATAAAGGCATTTCATTCTCTACCTTCTGTTCCCCGTGATGAAGTTTTCGAACCCCACCACCACCCCATCTTCTTCCTGTTCCTCTGTCAGAACTGTCTGGGGGTCCGGCCTTCTAGCTCCAAGCAGAAGCCACCTAGATCTCCAGCTCAAGTTCTCAGAGCTCTCTCTCCACTCATATTTCTACAACATGTTTAAGGCACATATCTGAACTTGCAAATGTGCATTTGTCTTTGTAATGACCTTCTCTAATGACATTTCCAGTCACCAGAGGAACAGTTCCTTACATATCACACTAATACACAAGCAACACGGTCACTGATTGTGTGCTTTTGACCACAATTTCCAACACTGTAAGTGCTATTATTGTGAAATGGAAGCGTCCAGTAGCAACAACAGCTCAGCTAGGGAGTAGTGGACTACGCAGACTTACCGAGCAGGGCCTCCTTGTGCTGAAGTGTGTAAAAATCTGTTGCAGATAGATCAAAGGTCTATATGCATGATAGTGACTGTGTAGTCACGATTCCTATAGAATATACATCTTACATACATCTTCTAAACTGCTTATCCTTCTGGGTTGCGGTGGGGTGCTGGAGCCTATCCCAGCTGTCATTGGGCGGAAGGCAGGATACACCCTGGACAGGTCGCCAGTCCATTGCAGGGCAGCCTATAGAATATATATATAGCTATTTGAGCAATCTTTGTGACTAAAGCTCCATCCGTGGCTCAATAATGGACCCTATTTCAAAGTCGCTTAGATCTTTTCTTCTTGCCATCTTGACTCAAAATCGAGGTCAACTGGGCCTGCTCAGCATTTTTATACACGCCACAGAGCGTGGTAGGATGCTAACTTCTTAAACATATCATACAGTACACAGATGTAGAAACATCTGCTTTCATTCTGTTTTTCCAGTCATCTGTCTATATATCATTCAGCATTAGAAAGTACCCATCATTTAATAAAGTGAAGACTGGCTTGTTCTTGTGAAATTTTTGACCAGACACGCACGTTATCACAGACAGCTGGACTCATCTATGCTCACACACACACATCACACATATACATATGGACTGTGAGTGTGTCTACATCAGTCCAGCTGTCTGTGCTCTGAGAAAGAGAGAAAGAAAAACAGTAGCGAACACACACACTCTAACCTAGCATGAGCACAGTAGATAGGAATCTTACTGTGGAATGATGATACCCATGTAAACCATCTATAGATCATCATGTACATCAGTTTTATAGTGTTCTTTGTGTCTGTTTTGCCATAAGTCCTGTATTCATGAACAGTTTAAAAGGGTCAGATGGATTGATTTCGTGCTGTTTGTTGTTGTAACTGCAGTCCATCAAGTGAACTCTCTGAAAAGCAAAGAAAATGTTAATTTAGCGAGTGATCGTGTTTCAGTGGAAACGGATGGTGTGCAGTAACCCGTCATGTTTGCCCTTTGCTCATCAGTACTTCTGTACTGCTCTCTTTCTCTCTCTGTAATCAGAAGGAAAGGGTTGGTGTTATATAACGCCTTTTGTCCGGTTCAGAACCATTCAAAGACTTAAAACACATCTTATATGCTCCTGTTTTTTAAACAATGTGTAAAATTGTAGTAATCTACTAGCTTCAATTTCTCCAGTGATTTACTGTTTATTTGCAGTACTCATAATGTGTTATAAAATTACAGTACTTCACTGTATTGCAAACAGGTGTATGAAGTCAAGCACAGAGCCATATCATCTCCATAGACAAACTCTGTTAGTAGAATGGGTTGTACAGAAGAGCTCAGTGCATTTAAGCAGTGGCACTGTTATAGGATGCCACGTTTGCCCCAAGTCGGTTTGTCAAATTTCTGCCCTGCTAGATCTGCCCTGGTCAACTGTAAGTGCTGTTATTGTGAAAGGGAAGCGTCTAGGAACAACAACAGCTCAGCCACAAAGCAGTCGACCATGCATGAATGCTGAAGCACTTAAAATTGTCTATCCTCTCTTGCAGTTCCAAATTGATTCTAGAGGTCAGCACAAGGAGCTTCATGGCTGAGCACCAGCACTCAAGCCTAAGATCACTATGTGCAATACCAAGTGTCAGCTGAAGTGGTGTAAAGCGTGCTACTACTGGACTCCACAGCAGTGGAAATTGTGTTCTTTCAAGTAATGAATCAAACTTCACTATCTGGCAGTCTGATGGATGAATCCGGGTTTGGTGGATACTAGAAGAACGCCACTTACTGGAATGCATAGTGCCAGCATTAAAGTTTGGTGGAGGAGGGATAATGGTCTGAGGCTGTTTTTCAGGGTTTGGACCCCTTAGTTTCAGTGAAGGGTAATGAGAAAGCTACAGCATACAAAGACATTTTAGGTAGTTATACTTCCAACTTTGTGGCAACCGTTCGTGAAAGGCCTGTCCTTGTTCCAGCATTACTGTACCCATGTGCACAAAGCGAGCTCCTCTAAGACATAGTTTGATCAGTCTGTTGTGGAGGAACTCCAGTGGCCTGCATGGATCTCTGACGTCAGCCCCATTTAACACCTTCAGAATGAATTGGTAAATTCCCACAGACACACTCCGAAATGCTATGGAAAGCCGTCCCAGAACAGTGGAGGCTATTATAGCCGCAAAGGGAGCCAACTTTATATTCATGCCCATGGTTTTGGAACGGGACAGCCAACAAGCTCATATAAGTGTGATGGCCAAGTGTCCACATACTTTTGGCCATATAGTGTATGTGCTTTAATGTGCACCCATAGGGCCCTCAGTTTTGATACATTATTAGTACAACATGCAAAGATGCGGCAAATGCCAGAATTCTATCAAGCTAGCTTCCAGTAGCAAATGTTTAACTGTGTATTTGTTATACACTTAAAAGAACAATCACGCTATTGTTCCACAACATTTTTCACAACATCAGTCAAACCATGAACTGCACATAAAAGTACAGCAGTAACTACTGCTACAGTCCTAACTAGAGAGTTAACTAGAGAAGGCACAGAGAAAAAAATCCTGATTGGACAGTTTTATTTTTTCGGCTTTCCAAGAATGCAACAACAAATACCTAATAAGAATAGTACTACAATACTGACTAAGTTGAAATATAACAAGCAAGTTTTTATTGAATAAAAATGAACTTAAAATTACAGATATGCTTTCTTAGCCTTCTCTGAAAGGCCTAGAAGGTCCTGAGGGTCCCCACTGAAGAAGTTCCTGAAAGCATTCCTGTGATGGAAAATGTAGTTACAGACTAATTATTCCGTACTACACATTAAAATCTGACGTGGAGTTCTTATTTGCTAGTTCTAAGTGTTCATGTTTGTACTTTCATCTTGATATTTTGCACTTTATGGGAAAATACAACTTTTTTTTTTTACAAACAAGCAACCAAATTCAAGCTAAAGTGAAGTGAAACAGCAGCAGATCTTGGACGGAGCTAGAATGGACTCTGGGGCCGCACTAATGTTATTTGACTTGGAATCATTTTCTTCTGTGGTTGATAATAACAACAGGCTGGAATGACCTGGGGCATGTTTTTGACATCTCTCTCTCTCTCTCTCTCTTTCTCTCCCTCTCTCTTCTTCTCTCTCAGGCCGAGCATACTCCAAAACCCTGCAGCAAGCGCCCATCACCGTCCTGAGCAAACGACAGTGCGCGCGCCGCTATGCTGGTCAGTTCACCAGCCGTATGCTGTGTGCTGGCGCGGCTTTAGATGAGCGCCGCGTGGACAGTTGCCGGGGTGACAGCGGGGGTCCGCTGGTGTGCGAGCGAGGGAGTGGTAGCTGGGTCTTGTACGGAGTCACGTCCTGGGGTCACTCGTGTCGACTGCAAGACGCTCCAGGCGTATACACCAAAGTCTCCGCCTTTCTGCCCTGGATCAATAAGGTCACCAGCCAATAGGGTGCAAGGATTACCTGAGAAGCACGGCAGTGTTACTACTGACCATAAGTAACTTTGTGCTGTGGTCAGAGAAAGTGATGAAAATGATCAAAGCTTGACTGTGATGAAAGGACTTTATGGAAAATGGTGCTTATAACAATGTTTTAACTCTGTTAGTTTTTAGGTGGTGCTCAGATGTGATGAACACAGCCTAAATGTCCTCTTCCTTTCTTAAAGGAATAGCCTGACCAAGCATGCTAATGTAGCTAACAATGAATGGAGGCTTGTTAGCGTGATGTCATTTGTATGATGCTAATTGGTGAGTATTCGCTTTCTTTCAATTGCAGTGTTGGCCTTGTTGACTAAACGACTCCTTTAACGTTATCTTTCGTTTAACTGCTAGCACTTCTGGGTTGTAGGGACCACTACGAAAATATGAAATGGTGTAAAGTTTTATGAAAAGGTACTTTTATTCATAGTTTCAAACAGATCAAGAAGATACCATCGGCAGTTGACGGGACGAAGTCATTTCCAGCATTTTTGAACAGAAAAAGTACTGGAACGTTTTTCAGTATCCCTCTCTCCAGGGATTCAGTTGCCATGTAGTTGCTAATAAATGGATGACCTCACCTTACCGGCAACCTCTGCGAAATCATAAACTCTCCCCAGGAAAGATGACATCATGTGTAGCTCTTGAGCTATGTGTGATGAGCTAAGGATTCTGGGGGACTCACGGGGAGGGGGTTTGATTCATCTTGACATAAGGTGGGGAAAAGTCCTGTACTTTACAAAATGTATGTCCTTGTGTATCGACTCCAACTCACAGTTTGCACTAAATTCTCGTTTGCCTGTAGACTTTGGAGCGTCTGGGCGATGTAGGAGAACTGAGCACAAAACAGGTGTGAGTTAAATGTAGACCTCTTTGTTTTATTGAAATAGTGGTGTGTAAAATTATTCACAAAGGCCTCAGTTGTTTTTTGCACCCAAATTATTCAAAACCAACTAAATGGCCCAATCTGTTTTATTTTCTCTGTTTAAACTGTGTAAATGAAGCAGATGTGCATCAGTGCAGATTCTAATCTAAATCTCCAAATGAAATGATTAATGACACCCAATGATACTGATGATCACCCAACACAAGCACTGTCCATATTGTTGGGCAAATATATCCTGTATTCAGTTTACTTTGGTTGCAAACATTGAAAAAAGAAAAGAATAATGTTGAGAAATATACAATAAAATGAAGTAAATAAAGCATTTTTACTTTCATAGAAAAATAGACTTAACAAACCGTTATTTAAATCTAATATATATACACAGTTGAGTCACATTATTATGGAAGGCACTCTCAACTGATTTGTGTATGAATCCATCCTTGCCGATCACGTACATCCATACATGCCAATTGTCTTCCCTGGGGCGGATGGGATCTTCCAGCAAGACAATGGGACAATGTCACACGGCTAGAAATGTACGACATTGGTTGGAAGAGCATGGCCAAGACTTCCAAGTACTACCCTGGCCCCCTAATTCCCCAGACTTGAACCCAATTGAGCATCTGTGGGACCACCTCGATCGTCGTGTTCGCTCTATGGATCCTCCCCCACGCACCCTCCAGCAGCTGGGGGATGCACTGCAGTCAGCAGTCCCAGCCTGTCTAGCTGCTGTTACACAGGGGTTACTCTGGATATTAGCTGGTGGTCATAATAATGTGACTCGACTGCGTATATATATATATATATATATATATATATATATGGTTCTATCAAGCTTTGTTACAGTAAGAGAGAAAAATGAGAACTCAAAATATGCATTACATTAATCAAGTTCAATCAAATAAACATGACGGCTCCAATAAATCATGAAGCTTTTTTCCTTAAATCGCTGAAATAAATGCAAACCCCTTTTACTTTAAAATCTAACTTAGTCAAATGCAAATTACACCAGTCAGATCACGTCTGGTTGATTTTCTATGTGAAAATAAGTTACTTAGATGTGGAATTTTCTAGTAATTTCAGTGCACAGTTTTTATTAATTTGCTAATTTTAACATTTGAAACAAATTAAACATAAAATATATGTGCCTTAACCACTGGCACAGGCCACATTTTGTGTTTTGTGTTTTTCCAATATGTTAAATGCAGCAAAAAAAACAGTAACTGTGCATTAAAATGTGCAGAACTGTGTTTTCTGTACAGGATGTAATTTGAATTAGGGGATTGTAATTAGAATGTAATTAGGGGTATTCAAACTGCAGCACACATATATGTCTTCTTTAAACCTATAATTTTACTTTTTGATACTACTTAGACAATGTATTTGCAATACCCTCCATTGTAATGTTTGTTCTAGAAATGCATTTGTGATAAAAGAATTTACAGTGTTGTCGCTATTTTAGTTCGCTCAGCTTTGCATTTAGCAGTTGTAATGTCCACTCATATTGACCTTGTACTGACTGGACTGCCCGACACTGCCCTGTATTTTGAAGCACAACCTAGAACTGCACAAACCAGGTTAAATACAGTGTAGAACTGTCATTTTTATAAATACAACACCCACAAAGACCTCACACCTGCTTAGAGCATGAATATCTCAACCAAGAGTTTACATTCGTCTGTCATGTTTACTTCAGTTTAAAGCTCTGGTGATCTTCACTGTGTATGTTATCCTGTCATAATTAATCCCTTGTGAATGATATTGTAAATCTGTCTGTTGAATAATATACAAATAATGATTTGTAATTCGTCCATCAAACATTATTCATTCTGTGTTGTGTTGTTTTCCCATGTGCATCCTTAAGTTAAACTAATGTCCATCAGTGTTATGGTGCTGATACCACTGTGCAATAAGTCAGTATTTCTGAAGTCTTACATCACACTGACCCGGTGCAATGTTAATAAAAGGAACATTTCTTTTTAACAAACGCCAAAAGAATTTGTAAGTATGTCAACACACTAAGAAGAAGAACTTGAAATGGGAACTTGAATAAATGTATCATGATATTTAGTCTTATTTTTTGAGGTTTAATAAGTTAAAACAGTGAAAACAGAACTACACAATGTTTCACATACTGCACTGCCCTAAGTCCAGTTAAACAGGACTCTGTTTGCAAAGAAACATGCATTTGGTCAGTGTTAAGGACTGATGTTCTCAGAAATGCATATGATGACATAATATACCGTAATAACCGTGATTTACCATAAACACCGCCATACTGCTTTGCTCATACACTGCCTGTAGTTGGACACATCATTTAAAGTTCTGGAGCTGAAGTTCTAAAATTCTTCGCCAAGCTGTGAAAAGTCTGAGCTTGAACCGCATCTGTTTACTCAGTCGTGACTAAACGTTGTGCGTGTAGTTTATTACACCACATATACATTATATTCTCTGTAGAAGTTGTTGGTGAAGTTTCAGTGTAAAGGTGTGGAGGGGGTGAAAAGTCCAGGCTTTTTATAAAACACAAAGAAGAGCAATAAAGTGAGGGAGTGACTGGACAATCCTCCGAGAGAGTGAAAGAAAGGAGCAGTTAATGGGCGAGTTCTCTGAGTAATGACAAATTCATTACATTCAACATAGTCTGTGGTCCAACCCAGCTGAACTCTGCTCCCAGAGGTGTGTGTGTGTGTGTGTGTGTGTGTGTGTGTGTTTGTGCATACATACAGTAAGCCAAGGCAAGGCAAGTTTTTTTATATAGCACCTTTTATACACTGCTGTCATTCAAAGTGCTTTACAATGAGGAAATACAGTCAGAAAATACTGTTGTTTAAAAAAAGTAAACGAGAATAGAAATAAAAAAAACATGATTAAAACAATATATTTAAAAGAGAAGAATCATGAAATTAAAAGTCAATTTAGAAATTAAATTAGGATAGCTAAAAAATCAGATTAAAAATTAAAATGTATCCTAATATTAGATTAGGATAAAAAAAAAAAATACAGTACTGTGCAAAAGTCAGAGAACAGCCTTCATTTGTTTAATTTCCAGTCTAAACCACCACCAAAGGGGCCAGTTTGATGGTTAAGATGTAAACAAATCATTCAGAGTGGTCTGATGTGAAATGAGAGTTCATGAAACCAATAACTTTTGATTTAGTAAAGCAGGAGGAGCTTCCCAGCATTTTTAAGAATTTATTTGTTTGTTTGTTTTTCTTTCTGTTAGCTCTTGTTTTTCTAATCTTTTTTGTAATCTGTTATCTTCATTTAATTCTGGGTTAGAACACTTTATGCTAAAGGTTAGGTTTGGATGCATTTTACAGGCATATGTTTCATTATTTATGATGGTGTTTTGTGTTGAAGTTTACTAGGTCAACTTGTTGTGTTAGCATGAAAGTAGACAGTTGGTCAGCCTCTAAACAGGTTCTAACTAGACTGGCACAAATACACAAACCTACTGGAAACGGAAACCCTGAAATGGGTGATTCAGGTCATTTTGAAACAGATTGATTATGATGATCGTAAGCCATGGCCATGACTTAATTATCTCATTCCCAGGCCACAACTTAATCATGTGATTCCCATGCCTCAGTAAGTTGGTGCCACAACTTAACTGTCTCATTCCCATTATTTAGTAAGTTGATGCCACAACTTAACTGTCTTGTTCTTATGCATCAATACACAACTTATGTTCGCATTCCTTAGTCAGACGTGGCCACAACTTAACTGTCCTGTGGCCATGCAATATTTTATTATTATTATTATTAAGAAAGGATGTCACCAGCATGGTTCCATAAGGATCTGCTGATGTAATTATTATTATTAGTTGTAGTAGTGTTAGTAGTAAGGTTGAAAAATGTGTGTATTTATTGACAAAAAGGGGCTGGTGTATAATCAAAGTGGTCATCCAGCAGACACTGCAGGCAAGTGGACTAAATGCTAATTCACCACTCTGCCCATAATGTACGGGTCTTTTATATCTTATATGGTAAACACTTCTTGACACAAATTTCTTGCAGACGATGGCAGTCCAGCAAAACCAGGCTTGACTAGTCTTATTCTTGACTTATCTGTGTGTGTGTGTGTGTGTGTGTGTGTGTGGGAGAAAATCTGGCTAACACTGAAGTGTTTGTTAGCTCAGTCTGTTCTACAACTTCTTCCTGTTTACACAACAAACAGTGCCCACACTGGCTCTTTGTATGCGTGTAAGTGTGTTCAGCCCTGTTTCCAAGGAGCTGAGGAGACAAATGAGTTGGGACGTGTGAAGCTATCTTTACATTTAAAAGCAGTAATGCATGGCACGTATAAAAGTACCCAAATTTAGCCACAGAATGTTCCCTGTTAACACAGTGAGTGTGTAAGGTCATCCAGTGATGAACAAAGTGGGCCGGGCTGGACATTTTATTTCTTATTTTGGCTGCTGAAAAACCTGTGGTCCGAGTGGCCACCTGCCTTGGAGGTGACCAGTTTCACAAATACCTATCATTACACCATTACTACGGTACAAAACAACCACTCCTCCTCCAACCCTGCAAGATCCACAGCATGTTTGGTCAGACATGGAACTAACTGCATTAAATCAGACTTGATCAGAATTTGCCACCTAACATGACAGCGGTGTTCTTATGAACGTAAACATTTTAAACTAAATATTTACTTTTTTTAAAGCAACACCTGATTGTTGGTACTTTCTGTAACATTTACCTCAAAATTTTGGCTTGATGGCCCAACTGTGCATTTTTAAACGGATCATTCTAACAAGTTGGTTCAAAATTAAGAGATAAAAACACATTTTGGACTTTTAACTAACTTTTAACTGACCTGTAAATTCAGGGGTTAGGGTTTGGGACCGACACCTCCCAATAGAAAGTAGCCTATAAATGATGATTTTGTATGTATTTAGCTTATTACTATTTCTATTTATGCATTGCGTTTAAAAAGATCACATAACCAGTGTAACTGTCTATAGTCTGAATACTTCACTGTTGTTTTAAATAGTTTTACTGTGGGGCTGCAGCTGAACTAATTCAGTAGATCCATATCTGTGTATCCTTAGAAATGTGCACTGCTTGGTATTGTAGTTCTAGTTGTCGTTGTAGCGCTGAATTGAAAGCATTTGGCACTGAGCGTGTAATTTGTACCTTTATAGGAGAGCAGCATTTGGCAGCCATTGTGTAACGTAGCAGTTGTACGGGGAACAGTATTTGGCATGTATTTCATAGCCTCTTTGTTCTCCGCTGTCGTTCAGGGTGTTGGCAGCTACTTGTGATCTCTGGGCTTTGAGAAGGACTTAGAGAAGGAGAGGGAGAGAGAAATGATGAAGTGAGATAAGTACTGTACTTTTCTCATCCTTACAAGTCGTAGTTAAGCTGATTAAAAGCATTTCAATATGAATGATTTCTCTTTCGCAGCTCACTGAAACAAGCAGAAAAACATTTTAGCCAGGATTCATTTTCTGACAATGAAAGGAACAGAAAAAAAGTTACAGTGCAGATTATTAAAGTAACTATGTAGGTGATTATTTCAGTACTTAACAGCATTTGAACAGTAATGTACAGCAAAATGACAATACATAAAACTTTGAGACTGAAGTTAATGTTGTTTACTTAAACATTCTGGAGCTGAGTGAAAGACTGAGACTCAGGACGGTTTGTACAAAGCTACTTTGTCTGAGGTCCTGTTACGCTGCTTTAACATGGTGAGTACCTTGAAACCTTGAAGGGGAACTCCACCAGTTTTTCAGAATATCTGCATAATTCAGTGGTTGAGGTGTAAACAGCCATTCAGTGGTTTGATGTGAAATCATTTCTTCACTGGTGGAGGTGATAAGGACCAGGGTTGCAACCCTAATAGCAGGAAGACAGTGGACCACTGTCGGCCCACTGATGGCAAAGCTGGTGGTCTGCTGCCGTTTTGCTCAGCGTTTTGCTCAGCGTTTTCTGCGCGGTCCACCGGTGGTTAAACAGAGTATTAGACAAAATTCCACTTATCATCGCTCATTTTCCTCTCACAGACCAATTTACAGATTTCTCCTTCCTTCCTTTCTTCAGTTATACTTTGTAAATTAGTTTAGTAAATCATTTTGATCAAGTACAGTCAGCAAGAACATTTTCTATAAAATCATTTTATTTTTCTCTCTCATTTCTCTCAATTTGTTTTTTTTTCAAAATAAAAGTCTTTGTGCATTTAAAATCTGTTTGGGCAGATTAAAAACTAGTTAAAACTTGTATGCATGACAGTAATCTAGGTGGTCCGAGGGTGGACAAACAGTCAGTGGGGTGCCGACCTTATGCTCTCTATCAGGGAATGACTGCACTGCAAACACAGCCATTGTATTTACTAGTAAACTACTAAACCCAGCGAACCCGCGCGCCTTAATACAGAAGCAGTTCATCCCCAAATGGTTCTTTGTGTGGTGGAACGGTTCTTCAGACTCGAAGAAGAAGCTGCTAGGTGTTCAAAATGACTGACTTATTCAGGAAGGCAGCGACAGGTCAGCGTGTAAGAACTGCTTCGTTACTTCAGGTTTGCTTTGGTTGTGTTTTGTAGCCCACGGCGTCTTAATGTTAGCTGACTTAGCTAACTAGCAGTTAAATATTCTCATTGTATGCTTCATTACGCTGCCCAGATTCACAAAATATAGACAGATAATCTTAAAAGGACCGTTTTGCCAGTCTACACGCAGCAGTTTGGTTATTTGCGACTCTTCAGAAGATTGTCTTGATACTCGTGATTAAAAAGTGCTTTTCAGCTGAGGCACGATGCTCATTCGTGTTTGTTTAAAAAGCACGCGTTATATAAAACAAGTGCGGATCTGATATAGATGCTTTTTTTCACCAATAATTCATACGATATTTTTTTTTATTCTGGCACGATGTAAAACGTGAGCCACATAGTGTACATTGCATACATCATTTGGTGATGCTAAGTAGTGCTAGATACTCCAGAAATAATATACATTGATAATTAACTTTGTGTTTTCATTTTTTCTTTGCAAAGGTGGAGATGAGACACCTTCAAGTTCAGGGAGAGCTCCAGGTACAGCTTACATTAGGTTTACCTAATAATTAAAAAAAAAAACTATGTATTTATATTTATCTATATCTATAACTATATATATATATACACAAAGCAATAAGATCATCATATATGTACAGAAAAATGTAGAACGCCTAGTAACTTGTGTTCTCAGCCTGTTAAAAGTTGGGTTCTTATAGGGCTTTAAAACTTCATATATCCAAACATTTCAAGTACTGTATGATCAAAGCATTATTTACACCATGAAGTGTGTATCAAAAAAAATCTGGAACAGTTTATGTGACTGAGCTGGAGTGGGCAGTTATGGAGGGTATTTTGTATTACCTTAAATGTACATATAAAAACACCCATACTAAACACCTATTCATGCAGATACAGTAGCTGTGAGTACGTGTGTGGCACGAGTCCTGCCATGATTCCCAGCCTGAACAATTGTCCCAGTCCGGCCCTGCCAAGAACAGTAAGAAGATAAACGCTGCACCAGCGGCTATGCACTGCATGCTACGCACCGCGTGGTTATTGAATATTGGATGTTGAGCAGATATTCACATTTGCCCCTCCTACTGCTCACAAACGACATCCTAAAATTTCTGAAATTACGTTTTCTGAATCGTGTTAAAACAGACAATAAACTTCAATCATTATATTTCTCCAAAGTCCCCGATCTTTCCCTTTCGATGAGTACATTTGATGAAAGTAGCTGGAATCGCCACAGCAAGCGCCAAAGACAATAAGGGACCATCTATAAAGTGCTGGTACTGCTTAAAAACATAAAACATTCAAAGATGTGAGGAGCCTGTTGACTTGAAACCTACAGAAATACAAAGATGTGAAAATCAGTAACTGCCATTAACAGGTGTGTATATTTAGCAGTTTAGGCAGTCTAAACATGCATGTAATGGTCCTGCAGATTGAATTGTCACAACTCTACAACAAATGGTAAAAAATGTTACCAATATGACTTGGTGGAATTGTCATACTTTATCAAGCCGTTACTTCAAAATATGAAATCATCATTTATCTGTGAGACAGATCACTACAGCTATCGTGACCCATAGATGTTGATGTGTGACATGGTGTCGTAAAGCATTACACAGTTCTCGCAAGAGGTCTCATGCCCGCTCCTCAAAAGTTACATAGCACTACAGCAGGGATTACTGCTACTGAGCTCTGATTGGTTAGCATTACTGCTATTGAGTGCTGATTGGTTAGCTTTACGGCTATTGAGCACTGATTGGTTAGCATTACTGGTAATAAATTCTGATTGGTTGGCAAGCAGAGCAGCTCATTGGCAGAGTGGAGCAGTTTACGCTCACTGATGTCATGAATTTACAAGCGCTCAGAAATACAGCAGCAGTGTTAAAATGTTTTATGTTGTTCTGTGTTCAAGAAGTGAATGCATTCTTTTATATAAAAAATATTTAAGCATCTACAAACTACTGGTTTGCTTAAATGCTTCATATTAACACATTAATTTTGGACTCTGGAAGACAAACCTGGAAGACATCACAGAGTGGCAGTGCTCCTTCTCTGGAGATCCAGAATGCTCTAAACACAGCCAGCAGATGGCGCAGTTCTGCATTGTCCCTCCTCATCACCAGCAGCAGGTGGAGTTTATTACTAATTAAAGGCTTTTAGATGTAAGAGACGCTGCTCAGTTTAAATGTTAAAAATCCTTTTTTGCTGAAGGTAATTCATTCAGGTTAGCTTTCACTGGCCATGTTGATTAGTTTTAGTTTGAGGACTGAACTCCTCTTTTGTCTGTAACACCAGCATAAGAACCATGGCACTTATAAAGATATTTGTCCTTAATTAAACGTCCCAAGTAGCGGAAAGTGTTGTTAGGTGGCGGCTATGGTATCCCAGATGGTTGCAATGGTAACACTAAATGGTTGCTATAATATCTCAAGGTGCTGCTAAATTGTTTCTAGTCAGTTGCTATAGTAAACCACGTGGTTGCTAAAGTGTTGCAAGAGGGTTCCATTGGTATCCCAGCTGGTTGCTAGAGTGTTGCTAGGCAATTACTGTGGTGTCCCAGTGATTACTATGATGTTGCTGTGTGGTTGGTACGGTAAACCACCTAGTTGCTAAAGTGTTGCTAGACAATTGCTATTGTATCCCAGGTAGTTGATAAGGTATTGCTTAGTGTATACAAGCTATCCCAAGTATGTTGCTAAGGTGGTAGCTATGATATCCCAGGTAGTTGCATATGTGGTGCTAGGCAGTTGCTGTGGTATCACAGGTGGTTCCAAAGGTACTCAGGGCAGAAACATAAGGTCAAAGTCAAAATGCTCAAATTGTAGCCACTGATCTTCAGAGGTCAGAGCCAAGACACTCACAAGCAAAAAAAAAAGTATGTATGTATGTATTTGTTTGTTTGTTTGTTTGTTTGTCTGTTTGTTTGGGTCTCTGAAGTTCGGAATCCAAAAAAGGCCAGTTCAGTTGGGAAATCGTGTAGTTTACTGGTGTGAGTTCTGCCCTGAAGCCCAGGAGGTTGTTGGTTCAAATCCTCACCATGCTTGAGGTTTGTTTATTTCTTATATGTCTTTGCTGAGAAGCTGAAAGTCAAATGTCGTGGAAAAAAAAGTACAGTCAGTCAGTTGTGAGACTCGCTAGTTTGAACGATTCCTGTGAGGTCAGGATTGTTTCAAATTCCACCTCAGATCTGCTGAAGAATTTCCAGAAATTTTGATAAAAGCCCGATGATCCAGCTCTACACAGCGAGTCTGTCCTCACATCATCTATAACCACCTGGTTTGGTTCCTCCACCTCACAAGAATGAGCCAAACTCCAGCGCGTAATCAGGACAGCGGAGAGGATCACTGTAGTCTGCCACACTTCAGGACATCTACGACAGCAGGGTGATGAAACTCACCGGCAAAATAACAGCTGACCCCTCTCATCCTGGCCATCACCTATTCCAGCCACTTCCATCTGGTAGAAGATTCTGAATCATCTAAACTAGCACAACCAGACGTGCTAACAGCTTTTTCCCAAGAGCTGTAGCGCTTATTAACCACAGTGGACACCTTGCACTTTAAACTAAAACTAAACCATCAAACCTCCCTTAATATATTAGAATAACAGTAACTCCTCTGTAACATAATGATTATTTACAGTCTGTAATATTCTGTATTTAATAGTTTTTATAGTTTGTGTACTCAGACCTGCAGATATTCACACTTCTTTTTAGCTCCTCTCCACGTCTCCTTATTATTCTTTACCCTTTATTCTATGTTCTATTTAGACATTTTATTGTCTTTGTCTCTTAGTTTAATACTTGTTAACAGTCTGTGTGCTTGTCTGGTCTGTTTAGTGTGTGTTCAGTGTATGTTATACATGTGTGACTCACCAAGACCGATTCCTTTCATGAGTAACACACTTGGCAAAATAAAGTGATTCTGATACTCATCATGAATCTTTCTCATCAGAGAAAAGAAGAGGGGATGAGGATCTGGAAGCAAGGATGTCAACTTAAGGTAAGAGGTAGCAGTAGAAGTAGTGCTAACCAATCAGCACTCAGAAGCAGCAATAAATCCTCAGGGCCTTCTAAACCTTCAGAAAAGGCCTGGTCATTTTTGGGAACTAAAAAGTGCATGTCTGTAATTTTTAGTTCATCTTAATTTAATAGAATCATGCCTATATTTCCCTGCAAGTATTGCATCACTACTCTTGTAGGATGGAAACAAAAGGTTAAATTCTTGCAACGCCCAGTGGAAAGTTGGACAATCAGGAATTGTGCATATATACATATAGGTTCCAACTTGAAGAGTTCAATCTTCAACTGCCTTTTGGGATCATCGCATCCTTAAGCGATCATGGCCTAATATGCTCCTAAACATGCATAGTTGCTCTGGAGGTCCTGTGTCGCACTGGTATAACTTATGTATCTGATATAACTAACTTGGAAAGCAGAAGGTTGTTGGTTCAAATCCTGCTTGAGGCCTTGTTTTTGCATGTTTTTCTGGTGAAGATGAGAAACCCAAAGACAAATGTTAAAAAAAAAGTGAGCTGCTTTAGATCCTGTGACTTGCTGGTAGATGCCATGCCTCCAAGATTCATAGGTTATCAGTTCAAATCCTGATCAGGATCTCCAGGTCGTGGTGGTGAAACGCACAGGGTGAAGGGCACATGAGGTGTGGGGAAGGCCGGAGGGCGATAGCCAAGAACCAGGGGGGAAGGTATACCCAGCTTCCCCCTGGGCCCCAGGAGAGAGGACAATAAGGGGTTATGCAACATTTCACAAGGAAAAAAATTGCAACTTTGGGTATGCAAAAAAGTGAAGTTGAAATTTATTTATTTATTTTTTGCAAGTTACTTAACAAAGGTTTCATTTCTCTTCTCACAGAGCTACTACCACACCAGATTTGAACCACTTACCTCACACAGCTAAAGCCATGTCATTCCCACTAAGCCATCAAGTTTCACACACAGCAGCCCTTTTTTTGGGGGCTTTAAGATTCCAGGACACAGAGAAAATCTCACTTGCACTCCTACACAGGCATCTGGAGAAGGTCAGTGGTGGCATAGATGAAGACCAGAACATAATTTAAGAAAAGAATGGTTGCAGTCTGGTGAACTGCTGTGATCCTGATGGTTTAACAGGTGACCGATGACTGATTCTAAATGCATTTGATTGTATCTAATGTGATCTAAAGGTGTGCTCTCTACTGGAAACCATAAGAAAGTAAAACCATAAGGTTTTAATTCAGCAGGGGCTGTTTGATTGATCCGTTTGTGTTGGGACTTTGGAAGGGTTTTGAATTTCATGTTCAGGTTCCTTACGGCCCATTTGAAATGAATTTGTATTCCAGTATCTTCACTGTAAATGTTAGTAATTTGACCTCTACACAGCATTTTAGTTAGTCTATATAAATTCATCTGTGACGGGTCACTGTTTGTTTACTTAGACCTATTTACTTAGTAAAAAAGTTATGGCCTACAATGCTTGTGTGATGTACTAAGGAATGTAACTAACCTGTTACAGTAATTCCTTGTCTCCTAAAAAATACATACAGACCATGGCAAACCCCTTTAGATAGTGGTGGCTCATGTGACTTCTCATCATAGATGTGGTGATGGTGTTACAGCTACCACGAAATATGGTGAATGCCGGAGACATAAGGAGGTTCACAAACTGGACAAAGGTTTTATCCATTTGCAGTTCTCCAGCAATGAACACTAAATTAAGTTAAATGGCCTTAATATAATTCCGCGCATTTGTATTAATATTTATATCAGCACAATTTTGTTTTTTACCTTGCATACTTTTGGCAATTAATGTACTGATTGAACTGAACTGAATTTAATTGATTGAGTTTATTAGTGTGTACTACAAAATCAACACAGTGTCAGTAGTAAAAACGTCCACTTGAGTACAGTTTCAATCCTTCATCTACAGCTTCTACATGTTAATGCACCACCATTAGTGCACTGTAACATGAATGGACTGCTGGTTACTTTCACTTGTTTATGTAATGACTGATTGCTGTTGGGCAAGTCTGAGCTCATTTATGTGACCGGGGCGCCACCGTGTGGATGCACAAAACCATTGCAAGTCCTGGAATATGATCAGAAATATGCAAATATATTGACATAAGACAAAAAATAAGTTATAAACCCTTTATAAAAAATTCAGTTTAGGTGAAGCACAGACACATTTGTAGTTTGACACTTCTGTGAGGCGTCTGCTACACTAAGAGAAGCCAGGGTAATGTATGGCAAATTTGGAATCAGTGTTTTTAAACAATATAAGACCAAACTGGTCACAGATACATGTATAAAATGTTTGTAATATACGTGTTCTGTACAATTTCCCAGACTTCTATAAGTGTTTTTTATCACCTGTCTGTAAAGCACTGAGTTTCCACCAGTATGAAACATGCTCCATAAATGAAAATATTTTCTTCTTATTATTATTATTATTACTAAATTATGCAAGTTAGAAGTGTCCAAAATGATGAACAGAGCTGTAGATGATTCTAAAAAAAAACTGTGAAAGCTGAAGTCCTTTTCTTTTCATTTAAAAAATCAACAAAATATGTAATATGGCCAGGGCTGCCAGCTACTTACCTGAATGATGACCACACACACACACACACACACACACACACACACACAAACCCACACAGACACAAATAAAGAGCTAGTTGCATGGTTACTAAAACATATTTCCAGTGTTTAATATATATTTATATATTTATAGTTATGTACATCTTTCCAAAGCACTTTCTCTTGGAAATGAGGCAAACGTTCTCAAATAAGAAAAATAAAAAGGATAAAATTCACACAAAGAACCAATCAGCTCCTGCCAAATGAGCATGGCTATAGCTAACCTAGACAAGCACACACCCACTCGCGCGCTCACTCACCCACAGACACACTGTTCTCAGGATTTGATCTGCAGCGAGCTGTTTAATTCACTGTTAATTCAGAATAAATTGATTTTGCTTCATTCGCGTGTTCATTCAAGTCCTTTTAACAGTATTGATTAGGACGGTCAGTGACATCACTCCATCAACTAGCAGCTTATCGACGACTCGTCGCAATCAGCGTCCAGCCTGACTGTGCGTTTCCTTTGCAGTGCCATCCCTGTTCTTGACCAGTTGTTTGGTAAAGAGTTCATGTATGAGTGCAAATCTAGAACTTGAGTAATGGTCAGTGCGAGAGAAAATAAACTGCAGGTTCTCAGGAGGAAAAATGAAAACAATAAAGTAATTCTTTTAAACGTCGCAGTTGGTGCTCGATGAGGATGAGCATGGAGCGGTAATGACGTCTTTCAGCAGCGGCTATAAAAACTTCACATTATGACTGACCCTAGTCCTGAAGAGCTAGAGTCCACAGCAAGAGTTTGACCAAAAATCTAATGCACACAGTTTTCTCCTTATCCTAAACGTAGACAATCAGCCAAGACGTGTTTGGTGTCTGAAGTCTACTTCTTTAGTTTTATACTGGAGTTTCGAGGCTAATGATCAACATGACAACGTCTTTTTCACAGCATAAGAAGACATGTATTACATATCTATTTTATTCAAACCTATTGGTTGAAAAAAAACTACGCTTTGAGATTAATTCATACACACATTTATCAGCTCCGCTGTCCTCTAGTTCTTTATCAGCGGTCAGTTTTGACCACAGGACCGCTGTCACGTGGATATTTTGGTTGGCCAAGTGTTTTGGATTAGTCTAATACACAAGATAATTCAGTTTTCAACTTTAGGCATCATCTTGCAGTGTAGTTAGGGAGGTCACCATTCATTTTCCGACCCCTGATCTGATCAGACCTGATTATTATCAGTCATCACAGAGTCTGATCTGCTGTTTGTGTTTTCATAGATAAGATGCTATGTCAATTAATACTACAGTTAAATCATTTCATTTTCTTGTCAGCATGATGTGACATTCTGGACTGACGTTTTGTTTTTAGCCTATTTTTTTCCAAATGACCGTTTTATAGTGTGGGTAATATTGATTGTGGTCAAATCTGATTGGCTGATATGATGATTTGGCTACAAGTTATTTTCATGTTCTGCACTGAAATCACTTCCCTTCACAGTCTGAACTGAAAGCTTTAGTTTAAGTCTTCTTAGGTGAAATTATAATCTTATAGGGTGTTGAATATGCAAAAATTTCTTGTTGCCTCATGTGGCACAGTAGCAGCTCCTTTCTCTTTCATTTGAAAGCGTTAACGTCTCTGCTAACATCAGTTTTAAATCAGAAGTCGCTCATGCAGCCAGCGAACCATTATTTTTCCAAAATAGTTGCGACTCAAGGGTGAAAAATGCTGCAGTATATTTAGAGTATATTTAGTATAGGGTTTTGGTGGGATGTTGCTTGCATGCTCACATTTTACAGCGAGTTTAAACAGTAAACGGAACGACGTTTCTTCAAGGCTGATATGTAAATATGTAAAGTTTGCATAATGCCAATTCATACACAAAAGTTTCCATTACTTTTTAGCTACATTAGCCTTGTAGCTCCAGCGCAAAACTAAAGAAGGAAACTTCAGACACCAAACATATCATGAGCTGATCATTACATTCTGGGTGAACTGTGAAAATTAGATTTGTCACTGAACTATCACTTTAATTCAAGCCCTAATCCTGTATCTCCTGATCACCTGATCCAGCTACATGAGGCCTTCAGGAGAATCTGAATACTCGGCATGGAGGATGAAGGAGGACAGGTGGAGTAGTGTGTGTGTGTAGTGTGTGTGTGTGTGTGTGTTTGTGTGTGAAGCTGTTCTGATGTTTGAGGTTTGATGCAGTCACTCCGAATACGCTCCCGTGTCCATGCTGTCGTGGCAACGTTGCACGCCCGTTCGAGGGCTTACAGGCCAGCATCCGTGCTGATTGGTGGATTTGTTTTCATTCTCCACCCCCTTCAGCATCCAGGTGTGCTCTGTCCAGGTGCTCGGAGTCCTTTGCGGTCACGATCCCTTGACCTCTGACCCCCGAAGCAGCAGGAAGGGTCGAGGCGTGTGGTTAGCGCTACCTGACTTTCTGGAGTTCCTCGCGGAGCCACGCAGGGAGAGGCTGACCCAGCCTGTGGAGAAGCTTTGACAGCTCGATGTTATGATCTCTGTAGAAGCGAGAGAGAAACGCACGAGACTGCGGAGAGAGAGAGAGAGAGAGAGAGAGAGAGAGAGAGAATAAGCATTTGTCTAGAAACTGATACACAGCGTTATTATTAGATTTTAACCATCACCCAAAAATATTCAGCCAAGAGTGGTTCTCAGGTCAGATACTGACCGCTGATCAAAGACTAGAGGATGGCTAAACAAACAGATCAGAGCTAAAGTCTCATATATAGTATAACTCTACACTAGCAAGGTGCGGCTACAAGGTGTTTCTAATAAAATGGCCAGGGAGTGGAAGTATGAGGTGGGTGTTTCTAATAAAATGGCCAGTGAGTGGAAGTATGAGGTGGGTGTTCATAATAAAATGGCCAGTGAGTGTACTTATACAGAGAAGTAGCTACATTGTGTTATGAAAGTTTGGTGTGTGTGTGTGTGTGTGTGTGTGTGGGCTGCTTGTCATGTGGGAATCTGCATCTGAGACAGCAACAAATGAGGGAGAGAGAAACGAAAGAAGGATGAGAGCAAAATGAAGAAAAATGACAGAGAGGAATGGACAGATGGGCCTTACATCACTGCTACTGTGTCCACACACACACACACAGAACTGTGAGAGTGAAGTCAGTAATTTTTAAAGCATTGACGGTATAGCTTTGAGGTATAGTTTGAGTTTTTTTGAGATATCAGAGCATAATTAACCTTAATAAACGCTCATGTACACTATAATAAGAGATATAGTCCATAAACAACCTCGAAAAACATGCCTGTACACTATCCTAGGATATTTTAGGCCATAAACCTCAATAAACACTTCTATACACTATAATAGGAGATCTTGATCCATGAACAAACTCACCAAACCCTCCTATATATTGTAACACAAAATAATAGTCAATAAGCGTCTTCTATAAATCATCCTATACACCATAATAGAAGATATTCATCAGTAAACACTCCTATACACTATAATAGGAGATATTAGTCCTTAAACAAACTCAACAGACACTCTTATACATTATAACAGAAGACAGTAATCCATTAACAGCCTCAATAAACACTAACCCATACATAATCACTTGTCACTTGCACATATACACAATGTAGGCTGCAGCATTGCGAACCAGACAATAAAAAAGTAATACAGTGTATTCTATATACATACATTCTATATAACATTCTGTAATTTCTAGTGATTTCAAAATCATTTTCATCTCTGTTTATGTTATTGTAAATTTATTCTTTGGGTGAAAACAACAATTCCAATTTATTAAACGGTGATTCCAAACTTTTAAAAGGTTGTTCAGTTCAGTACAGAACAATAAAAGTGCAGTGATTTACAGTGTATAGTTGCTGTGTGTATGGATGCTGCTTTAGCTCAAAAATGCAGAAAGAAAGCAGTGCCAGTTTCAGTGCAAGTGCAAAACCGTTTCATTAAAATGGCTCCAGATGGAGCTGGAGCGTGGACGGCTTATGTTAACATAGCCACATTTATGGTAAATGCCAGAAGCTGGTCTGTGCAACAGTACTTTGGTTGCTAAGGCACCGGCGGAAGTGTCGGAGAGCCATGTGTGATTTAGTTCAGTGCTCCTCCACTGTGTCCTCTGGAGGAGTGGAATATAGGGAATGATATATGAGAAAATAAATCAATACAAACCTATATGTCCCTGCACAACACATAACTTCATACTAATACTTCTTATCTGTCTCATATATAGATATCAAACAGATTTATTGAAGTAAAAGAATAATTAAATTCTAATAGAATAGATTCTCCTAATATTTTGAGTTTGTCTGAAATATATTTATTTTCTGCTCTACCTAATAATGATCTAATTTAGATGATCTAGCAGTATCTAAGAGCTCAGTGATTTCTAAATTATGGTAGCACTTCAGAGCTTGGAGTAAGTAAGAGCATGGAGAAAAAGCTAACAAACCACTTAATTACTTAGAAGCGTACTATAAGATTTATTTTGTAGTTGTTGGACTCTAAATATTTATTTAATTATTACATAACGTCTGCATGCAGTCCCTACAGACAATGTGCAGGGAGCTGAAATGCCTTTTCTGTGCTGACAGAAGCTGAAAAAGGTAAAATAGGGTAAAATGTAAGACCACTGCAGGATAATAAGACACGATAGAGATGATCCTAACTCTAACACTGCTGATAAACAACTAAAATTAATCAGGTAGTTTGTTAAGAATTTAAGAATCTGTAAATAAGCCGTAGGGACACAACTGTGACCTTATTGTTAAAAATCTTCCCAACATAATTAATAATTTTCACTAATTTATGCATAATTCTGAATATCAATGTTAAGTATAAATAAGTATTAATAAGTAACTCATATGTAATAAAGAAAACGTTCAAATTTCTAATTACCAACTGCTGTCCTAATTTTACCACTTTATTTATTGTAGTCTGCAAAACAGAACCTTTATTTCACCATTCATTTGTATCTGTTGTGGCCCAACTATTGTGTCTGAACTAGGGCTCGACCGATATCAAAATCAAGTGGCCGATACCAATACAGACAAAGCAACTTGAGACTCTTTGTTCTATTACGCTCCACTTTTTGTAATGTTTTCACAGGTTGCAGCGGTCGAGCTAGAACCATGAAACTTTGGGAGATCGTAGCGTCTATACAGAAATAGTGCACTTGTGTTTTTGGGACAGATCGTTAGTGTGGTTTTCATACAGCATTTGTTCAAACATTATTTTATCCTCATAGGAAATCAATGGTGGAACATTGAGAACCTTAAAATCTAACCTGATGTTACAAAGGACATCTCATGCACTGAGCCTCACAGACATTACAGACTCACGTACCAGCACTTGTATAGATACACATATTAGCAACCACCTGGGACACCCTAGCAATGGCCTAGCAAAACCTTAGCAACCACCTGGGAGACCCTAGCAATGGTCAAGCAAAACCTTAGCAACCACCTGAGACACCTTAACAATGGCCTAGCAAAACCTTAGCAACCACCTGAGAGACCCTAGCAATGGCCTAGCAAAACCTTAGCAACCACCTGGGACACCCTAGTAATGGCCTAGCAAAACCTTAGCAACCACCTGGGACATCCTAGTAATGGCCTAGCAAAACCTTAGCAACCATCTTGAATAACAGCAAAGAATAAGAACTCTGTGGTGCTGCTGAGGTTTCTGTGAATATTCTGCACTGTAATGTACCTCTGCGTCCATCGGGGGGTATCTGCGGCCTTTACTTTTACCCAAACACTTGGTTCTGCCTCCGTCCAGCAACTGACACCAAAAGCCCTTCTGAGGATCAAACCTGAAGGAGGAGAGAGAGAGAGAGAGAGAGAGAGAGATACAAGGGATGAGAACTCAATCATCTTGTCTCATTTCTTCTTGACAGCCTCCAAGAAGTAAATCCGCCCCACATGGAAAACTCAGCAACACATGCACTCAACACACACTCACACGCTCACATCTCAGGCTGACAGATGTCAGCTGTAACCTTGTCTGGCTGTCAGAGGAGACATGCTTTGGTTTGATAAGCACTCGCAGCTCTCTCAGCAGTGTGTGAGTGTGGGGGTAGATGTGTTTGGATGTGTAGGCGGGGGTGTTAATTAGTCCACTGGCTAAGCTGAAAAACACAGATCACACAAGAATATTTGACCTAAACTACAGCAAACACACCCAGAGGAAGAGGAATCATGCCTGCCAACACACACTCTCTCTCACACGCACACACAGCCTCACTTTCAATTATATGCTCTTTTTTCCTCCTTTCCCTCCCAGACGTCCTATTAGTCTCACACTACTCCTGGACCCACATGAGAAGCTCCAAATGTGGAACCCACCCTCTACCCCCGAGTCTTTAAGTGAAATCATCATTATAATAGTGTGTGTGACTGTGTGTGCATTTTTGTTTGTTTTTGTACATTTTTCAGAACAAATTGTCCTGACTTTGTAGGAAAACGAAAGAAAAAACATACAAGATGATCATCATTTTGTGAAGTTTATTTTTTTTTTCACAAAAGATGAATATTTCATTTCTAAAAGCTGAAAGGGTAAAACCATTTCCTTTTGGCTTCTGATGTTAAGGTTTACTGTGAGGCTTACAAAACGTCTAATATTACTACTAATATGATTACACATAGGTAGTTACAAATCGTATAAACTGTTTTTCATTTTTTTTGCATAATTTGATAACCCCAGCTGCTCTTGAAATTGTGTTGAAATTACATGATGTTTGGACCCATAGAAATTGTCCAAAAATGACTGAATAAAATCTTATTACATTAACTTACATTCAATGTTAATTAATGTAGTATAGGGTTCTTTGTTTTTGTCCTTTTCTTGTAAAATTTTTTTGGAAATAAGAGGTTTTGTTCAGACAGAGACAATATATATAATATAAAATTATTCTGACATATAAATAGTTACATATATGTACTGTGTTTGTGCATTACATAAACAGTTTTATGCAAAAGTCTACTAGAACCAGAGTGTTTTGTTGATTTTCTAAGTGAAAATAACACATCCTCTACAGAGAACACACTTAAATATGGCATTTTTGTCTGGAAATTTTAGTGACACAGATTCCATTTATTTGCAAAGTTTAACATTTAAAATATAAAATATAAAATGTGCCACAACTTTTGCACAGACCACATTTTATTTTTTTTCAATATGTTACATCCTTATAGAACTTATTTTCACACAAAACATGGAATTGAGCAACCATTATTTTTAATAATTGTAGATTATCAATAATAATAAAATGTCTTATATGTATTTTATGTATGAAGGTATGTATCACTGTTCTCGGAAGAAAACCTTGTGCCTCCAAAATAGTAACTTTACAGGAGAAGGAAAAAACATACTTTACTTTCAATGTAAGTCAATGGAACCAGACTTTTTTCCAAGTCATTTTGGGTTGTTTCTTTTGGTCCATTCATCATGAAATTTACACACAATGTAAAGAGCAACATGCATTTTCAAATTATGTCAAAAACTGAAAAACGACATGAACAGAGTTTTTCTTCGGACAACAGCGATATATAGGTACCTACACATAAAAAAAGTTAGATATGTGTTATATGTTTACACATACACATGCATATATGTATATATATATATATATAAATATGTATGTGTATTTTTTTCTTTTTATTTTTCTATGTCATTCAAGCACACCAGCTGCGCTTTATGTTGTGTGAAAATGTCATGACGAATGGCCCAACAGAAATGCTCCAAAACTGCTTGAAATTAAATCTCTTTATATTAACTTACATTGTAAGAAAAGAACATTTTTACCTTCTCCTGTAAAGTTGCTATGTTGAAAATATATGAAAAACATATATAATACATTATCACGTAGAGGTATTTACACATATGTAATACATATGGGGCTTGCTATCATGCCATAATCCTGACAAGGTATAAAAACAAACCTCTGTGTGCGTGTGTGAGGAAGAAACAAGTGTAAATTGAGCAGCTTTTGGCACGTTGCATACTGGGAGATGAACGTGTTTTCCTGCATCGGCTATAGAAAACTTGAAAATCACTTGAGAACAGAGCGACCGAACAGCTCTTCATTAAACAGCAGAGAGAGAGAGAGAGAGAGAGAGAGAGAGGAATGCTTAATGAGTCGTTTTAATTACAAATTCCTGATGAAGCTAATCCTCTTGTCAGGTCCAATATTAATGGCTTGTAGCTGTATTAGAGAATATTCAAACTCCTCTAATTTGCTATAGAAGCGTATAATCTATTAGCCATCCAATCAGGTTGAATGAGCGTGAACGAGCGGGAACGAGCTAGCAAATAACAGGCGAAGGGGAGGAGCAAATGATCCATGGTAGCGCGCTGGATTTATCATTCATAAGACATCAAATCCATCATTATCAGGTGTGTGTACGTGTGTGTGTGTGTGTGTGTGTGTGTGTACTCACGTGAGAGCCTGGGAGTAGTTGAAGTATGGAGAAACGCCCAGAAACTTCTGCACCTCGTCCATCACAGCTGCAGGGTCATTCCGCAGCTGCTGACCATCAATTATCATCAGCTAGACACAAACACACATACACAAGAGATTAGCTACTGGTTTAGCAGATATAGCACATATTATTTAGCAGTACATAAATACAGCGGAGATTGTTCTGATAGCAAACATGCCTAGTTACCTTTCTCAGAAATGTACTACAGTCATTTCAGTTTCAGTTGTATCATGCTAATGTTTGCTGCTCTACTCTATGGTCAAAAACAAAATTGCCATGTTCAACACAGCCTCTTTTCACTAAGCCTGTTTACTTTGATTAATGCATACTTGAGTCATATACAGTGGCATGGCATGGTTTTGCCAACAGGGAGGGCGGCGCTGTAATTCATCACTCTAACACAGTGCCCCAGTCTCAGGTTCTACTCCTCCACAGCACACCTGCGCTTCTTTTTTTTTCCATGTGATCATCCACAACTGAGCTAATGAAATGAACGCTCCTCACAACATAACCTGAATTGTTTCCATAAATGCTATTTAACCCCCTCCACTCTAATGATGCACACAAATGCTACTTGTGGAGAACCTTCAGCCTGCTAAACCTACATGAGACTCAGTTACAAGCTAGGCAAACAAAAACACATCACAAAACAGCTGGATATTATCAGCATGAACCCCTTAAAATACCAGGCTTTTTACATAGTAAGGCTTATTATTCAGTAACCACAGGGACTTCAATGCAAACTAGTTGAGTTATTCTTAGGTTATTAAACTTTGTCCTGTTATGGGGTTAAGCATATCACATCAACCAAGAGAAATCCCCCAAAATAAGACTGGAGGTCAGAATGATATGACAACCTTTAGCCACAGAGCTGAAAGATCATAACAACCAGAATAATCAAAATACATATAGTAGCAAACTTTCCTGACTGGTAATGTATAAATACTAAAGCATATAATTATAAAACACCTTTTAATTCACCAAAACTGCTCTTATTTGACTGTGTCTATTTAACATTTATTTTCAACAAGAATTCTCTCAAATGAATTTAAAATTAGTGTCTCAACTGTTTTAGAAGGCTATGTTACATTAGCCGTGTACTAAATCTTGCGTCAGAAGCTTTTAATTGCTTTTAAATTAATTTACTGTTACAGCTAACGCCTCAGTCTGTTACAATTAACCCCATCTATTGGATTTGCACTCACCCAGCTATGGGCTGAATTGTATGTAAGTGGGAGGTGCTTAAAACAATGTTTACATTTTCATTACGTTATGCAGACGTGTACATTCCTTGTATTAATAATTTTAATTTTGCTCAATAGTTTTCAAATTAATTAGCAAAAACCAAAATGTGTTATGCCATGCCTTGTACAATACTGGTTGAAATTATTCCTCAAGTATAATTTTTGTCGTAACTGTTACACTGGTTTTATTTCGGGCTGCTAATGAGCGCAGATGACGTAACGCTCAAACAGTGCGAACTATGCTAATGTTTGTCCCTATAGCTGAATGGCCGAGCCACGTTGGACCCTCGATCAGCTCCTGCTGTCTAGTCTGTTCGTAGCGAGTGTGTACCTGGCTGGGTGAGTAGTAGGTGAGCCATCTCTCCAGATGTGTGGCGTAGAGGCCAGGGACAAGGCAGCGGTTCTGCAGTGAGCGCAGCTCAGCCGGAGCGTGCTGATTGGCTGAAATCACCTCATAGAAACTGAAGCGCAGTGCCACTTGGTCCTCATGAGCCCTCTGGTGCTGCCATGGTAACGGGGGAAAGCGTTAGCAGCTCAATACAATTGAAACTCAATGACAATATAATCATAACATGAACAAAACTGACTGATACAAAATTTTGTAACCATCTCAATTTCAAGGAGCTAAAAAAACTGTTAACCAGTTATTTTGTTCAATATTATTTAATAGCCATAAATGTAACAGATTCCAGTGCTTTACTGACTGATATGATTGTCGGTCATTTATGCTTTTCAGTTGTCAGCTGACAGTTGTCAAAAAAACAGCAGAAACTCAAAACTTCAGAACAGCCCTTGCGAAAAAGAATATTTAAGTATCAACAGAATACTTAATAGAATATATATACATATAAATATAAATATTTATATAAATATAAACTGCAGGTCACGTAGCAACGAGGTTTTGCCGAGCGAAACGAACGAAAAAGGAAAAGAGAAAGACTGACGAACATTTGGAGACGAAATGGACTTAATCGCAAGTTGCAAAGATGTAGTCGCTTCTCTTTCTAATTAAATGGTGCTGCAATTACATTCGGCGTCTCAGTCAGAATTTAAGGTGGAACGGGAAAATTCGAACAAGAAGCTGGAGAATGAGCAGCGACTTCAGCCTCGTAAAACAGTCGAAAGCTGAAAGACATTTTACAAGAAACTATTCAACTTCTGAGGAAAGGTTTTCTGGCGGAGATGGGAGGAAAGCGGCTATAGCTGGGCTAAAGCTTAAAGCAGAGCAGAGTGAGTCCGCGTTTTTGTTTATATTGTTTAGTCTATACTAGGACATTATCACACACTGAGATATGCTGGACATTAAATGTTGTGGCTCCCAAGGTGGTTTGATTTTTGTTGAAAGGACAAAATGGCTCTTCTTATCATTTGTGCTGTGACTCCTGACCTAACCTGGCTTTTAATGCAGAGGGGCCGGTCGGATTTCTCACTAATCCAGTAGTGTTTTTGTCGTGTGCCGCCACAGACTGTCTGGGCGCTGCACTTTCCCACCTCCAAGTTCCGCCCTTTGCGTTCCGTCAACATTACGTTATAAATTAAATATTAAGAAAATCGATTTTTGACATTTGTAAATCGATTCAGAATCGTCCACGTCTGCATCGCGATGCATCTAAAAATAATTTTTTTCCTGCACCCCTAATATATATATATATATATATATATATATATATATATATATATATATATATATATATACATACATATATAGTAATACTCTCAGAATATCAGAATTAGTATGAATTTGTGAATGAAGAAATGTTAGCTGAAGAACAGAGCTGCAGATGATTCTAAATAACTAAGAAAGCTGTAAAACATCAAGAATGAAGATAAGATAGTAAAATTCATATCCAGAACACCTCAAATTTAATTTGAAGTGGTGATCAAATTTTAAGGCAGGTGACTTGATGAAAAATGACTGTAAATAGAACATAATAATATATTATTTATTAAGTTATTAACTCCTGCTGTTATCAAAATACTTTAAATGTCAAAATAAAAAAAACAACAGATCTAAAATACATTTTGGTGTCTAGCGCATTCTATTTAAACACCTATTTCAACAAAAATCCTTCATAATTAAATAACATGTCCCAAAGTCATTCAGCATGGTTTGCTGTGAAATGCTCCATTAAGTAGAACTGTTCACAGTGGCAGTGATAGGAACCAGAAGTCAGAAAAGTTGAATGCCTCCAAAAGCTCCATCACAGAAAGTTATTACATGACATGATTATGAATACATGGTCTGATGCCTGAGACACTGTTTTATGATAGTTTTGAGATGAGACATTAAATATTAAAATATATTACTTATAGTCAGGTGGGTGCAGGGTGTTATAAGGCAAAGCAGTCCCCAAAGAAAACCTCCCAACATTATATACACTGATAAGCCAAAACATTATGACCACTCGCAGATGAGGTGAATAAAATTGATTATGTCATAACAACAATGGCACGTCAAGGTCTGGAATATATTAGACATTAGATGAACAATCACTTTATATAGTTGTGTTGATTGTAAGAGAAATGGGCCTGAGTGACTTTGACAAGGGTCAAGTCGTTATGAGCCAGTTGACTGTGTCAGATCATCTACAAAACAGCAATGCTTCTGGGGTACTCCCAGTCAGGAGCGGTGAGTACCTACTGACAGTGGTCATGAACCGCCAACAGAGTGTTGGGCTCCCAGTGCTCACTGTTGCATTAGGGCAATGAAGGTTATCCTGTCTGGTCAGAACCAACAGAAGAGATACTGTAGCATAAGTCACAGATGTCTTTAATGATGGTTACAGGACGAAGGTGTCACAACACATAGTGCATCACACCCTGCTGCACAAGGGCCTGCATTTCTGCGGACCAGTCAAGAATGCCTGTGCTAACCCCTGTCCACTGCTGAAAGCTCCTACAGTGGGCAGACAAGCGCCAGAATGGGATCTTTGAACAATGGAGGAAGGTCACCTGGTCCAATGAGTCCCAGGCAGGTGCACATGCATCATCTACCTGAGGAAGTGATGGCACCCGGATGCATTGTGAGAAGATGACATGCCAATGGAGGGACTGTGATGTTCCCGTCATTCTCTGCTGGGAAATCCTGGGTCTGGGCATCAATGTGGCGGTCAGACTGACACGTGCAACCTACAGTAGTGGCAGTGTTATTCCCTGATGACAGCGGCCTCTTTCCAAAGGATAATATGTCATGCTACATTGCACACATTGTACAAGAATGGTTTGAGGAACATGACGAAGAGTTCAAGGTGTTGCCCTGGCCTCCAAATTCCCCAGATCTCAATCCGATTAAGCGTCTGTGAGATGTGCTGGAACACAGTCCAGCTCCACCTCGCAACTTACAGGACCTGCTGTTAATATCTTGGTGCCAAATACCATAGGGCACCTTCAGAGGTTTTGTAGAGTCCATGCCTCGGCCTACAGAGCAGTTCTGGCAACACCAACAGCATATTAGGCAGGTGGTCATAATGTTTTGGATCATCCATGTGTGTAGACACGTACAGATTCATTGTTGCTTTGGTCCATAAATAAAATGGTTTTATTTCTGTTGTAGACAGTTTGATTTCTGGTTCCTTTCACCACCACTGTAAAGAAATCAGAATGCACCAGTGCACCATTCCACATCCAAGCACTCTGAATGACTTTCTTTATATCTCAAGCATTTAATTAGGCAGAAATAAAAAAATCCCCTTTAAATCTACACTGTAAAAGTTATTATTGTGTACAAAAAGTCAAAAATTAAAATAGTGAGTGACTTCAACCTTCTAGATGACAGTTAATATAATATTTAAGGAGACATTATAGATGCTTTATCAGTGGCATTTCTGCAAGTGCTGATCAATCTGGTGAGTTAAACATTCAGGTGTGGGAGTCATGTTGGCAGAGGGGAACCCTCAGGGTCTTCTACGCCTTCATAGAAGGCCTAATGGCTTCTGGGAACTAAAATACAACTGTAATTTCTAATTCATTTTTATATAATAAAATCATGCTTATATTTAACCTCTGCAAATAATATAGTACTAATCAGGCATTGGCCAATCAGGAATTGTTTTTCTCTGTGATATCTAGGTAGATAAAGCTAAGCCCTCCTATTGGCTAGGACTTCAGGAGCTGAAAAGAAGTCATAATGCGTTAGATTAACCATTAGCATAATTAGAAAGAGACAGAAGGAATCAACCAATCATGTTTTGATTTCCAATAGGCAGGACCAATTTCATGAGACATAAAGTCACTGTAGCCTCTCTGGAAGTCTCACTGACTGAATATGAGCGGCAGCTTAATCAGTGCTGAAAAAGTCACTGTGAAACTGCTACAAGGTAAAATATATGCTACTATATTTGTCACAGGCTTCACACTTTTGACCGAAGGCCTGGCTCTAAAAGCCACTGAGTCTATTTAGTACAGAGGCCCTGCCAGGGCAGAATATGGGGTTACTAGCCTTACACACATATTAACAGGGGAAATGGGATCGAAAGCTTTCTCTCTTTTCTATGTTCTCTTAGTTGGTAATAATCACACGCTGGGACCTCCTGAGGCTCGCTGCAGATGAGATTTTCTCTCTCTCTCTCTCTCTCTTTCTTTCATTCATTCCATCTCTCCCTTCTTCTCTTAAATTTACTCTCTCCCTTTGTCTCTCTCATGCTGAAGTCTGGAGGCTAAAGAAACAAACACATGGGCGTATGAATATGCACATGCTGCCTACTAGGATGCCAAACACATCAGAAGCTACGAGAAGCTCCTCATGGCTGTTGATTTGCACTAAAAATCCACCGACTCCACGACTGCGATCTTCAAAAATGACGCAATGAGCACACAGGCAAACACCTGACCTCGCTGAATGAGCTCAATAAGTAGGTTTAAAAGACGGTGTGCACGGTGATGTTAATCTAATGTGGCATTGACTTTCCCTTCTCGCCGTATTGATCCCCTCTTTAACCAGCTTCTCTTTAACGTATAGCAGCGCTGGCCTGCAAATTGCAGTCATACTCACTGATCCTGTCTGCAGCTTATGGATCACATTCAGTGGCCACTTTATTGGAAACACCCCCTTGATGGTGTATAGTTAGAGACTGTAGCTGATTTGTTGATGCACCTGTGTTCGTCATTCCCTAGTTCTTCGTCAGTAGTCAGTGATGAATGGAGCAGAGGGCAGATGATAAACTGCATCAACAGATGAGCTACAGCAAATGTAAATGTTATATATACTGGAGCTAAAAGAATGATGGAGATCGTAAAGTGGCCATGAGTGGATATATAAGGTATGTTTCTAATAAAGTGGCCAGTGAGTGCAAGAACAAGGTAGGTGTTTCTAATAAAGTGGCCATGAGTGGAAGAACAATGTGTGTGTTTCTAATAAAGTGGCCAGTGAGTAGAAGTACAAGGTGGGTGTTTCTAATAAAGTGGCCAGTGAGAAGAACAATGTGTGTGTTTCTAATAAATTGGCCAGTGAGTGGAAGTACAAGGTAGGTGTTTCTAATACAGTGGCCAGTGTGTGGATGTACAAGGTAAGTGTTTCTAATAAAGTGGCCAGTGAGTGGAAGTACAAGTTAGGTGTTTCTAATAAGGTGGCCAATAAATAAATGTACAAGTTAGGTGTTTCTAATAAAGTGGCCAATAAGTAAATGTACAAGTTAGGTGTTTCTAATAAAGTGGCCAATGAGTGGATGTACAAGGTAGGTGTTTCTGAACGCATGATTCTGTATTATTTTTGTGTAGTCATTAATCAATGTTCTCTCAGTACATTACCTGGCATGCACTGCACAAATGTCATACAGCCACTGGAAATCTCTCAAAAGTGTTAAAAAAAAATCTACTAATATATCACTGATGCAGAGGCTAATAAAAATAGATGTGATATTCAGCTTCCTAGCAGTAAAGTTAGCTTCCTGGCTTCCTTCAAGATTAGTCACCTTGACAGGTAAAAAAAAGCTCACATGCATGATTTTGTGCCAAAAGGGCTTGTAGTTTTTCAAAAGTTCCTCCCACCTTCAACACATCACCAGAAGGACTTTAAATCCAGAAAATCTCACTCTCAAGTCTACTGTGGCACCACTGTAGGTATTTTTATAACAGATGTAGTGATGAGTAAATAGTTCATTTTAAGAGACTGGTTGAAAAGGGTTACCAGCTGGCTGTTAATGGTTTTGGTGAACAGTGTGCTAAACTAGAATGGATTTTTCTTCTGTGATAGGTTGGAGATGTACCTGGTACCAGCTGTAGGCCCTATCAGAAGGGTTGATAAGTAGAGTGAGAATCTTGGCTTTGGGGAGCAGCGCGGCGGCTCTTTTGGGCGTGTCCTCTGAGGGGAAGTAGTTGGCGCTTTTTTCAAACAGGAAGTCTGTGCTGACGTTGGATGGCACGGGGAAAAACTCCATGTACCTTAAAGAGGACACATGCAAACACAGTGTAGAGCAGTGTTCCACAGGTATGTGCATGCAGGCATAGGTTCACCATCACTGTGGAATCTGGTTAAAAAGCAATTCATGAAATTTCACTATATTACTATAGAAATGAACAAATATTCAGTTTTACATAAATAAAACAAATAACCGTTAACCGACCAACACGCTGAATTTGCACACTTGTATCCATGACGACACAAGAGTACAACTTGTTCTGGAAGTGATGTGCCTGATGTGCCTTAGTGATGCACAACTCCAGATAGGGCTGTCATGATTATGAAAGTGTAGCTAATAATTGTCAAATAAAAAATTGCTGTTTGCTAAGTCCCTTAATAAGTCTCAAAGAATGCTTTTGCTGCTTTCTTTTATTTACATTTATTTGCCTAGTAGTAGCACCAAAGCCACTGATATGAAGTGATATAGCAGATTTTAAACCATCCTAAATGTAGTTTACAGCACTAACACAACTACGACATTCAGCCACATGACACAGTGCTAAGCTATCTGACACTTTTTTCAATGTCATGTTGCTTCTGTTGAGTGTAGGCTTAAGCCATAGCCTGCCAATGTGTTTGTTAGCTAATGGTTAGCCTACGTAGTTAGTATCATAACAAAAAAAGCTTTAAAGCTGTAAGCTACCAATTTTATACTGACTGTGATTTAAACTATGCATATAAACTTCAAGCTAGCCCCTTTCAGGCCACATTTGTTATATGTGGTAAATGTAAGTAAGTAGACTACATTAAGCTACTGTCATATCTGTTTCGTTAGACAGCACTTATTCAGTAATGCCTAAAACGCAGTGCTGTGTTTGTGTCAGCGATTTTAGGTTTGTCAGACACAATCAAAAGAAATTGCCATCCTTAAATGGAACCCAAAACCTAACTGGTTTAATTGGTAACATGCCTCTTGGCCTAGAGTGTCCTTAAGAGCCTAGAAGCTGAAGCTTTAGCAAAGAAAACAGTTGCCAAGTTAGCCTTGTTAGCTATAGTAGCACTAACTGATAGTTAATAGTGAAATAAGGCATAGGCTTATAAACATTAGCAGTGAAGAGTAAAATTTTATGTTTAACAATTTTGCCTGAAAACAGCTGGCAAACACTCATGCCAGACCACCACAAACATTCAAAATGGAATGTTAGGTAAAATTAACAGATTACAGGACATTAAATACATAAACTAAAGGACTCATATCATGGAAAACTGAACTTTGCTCACTTTTGTTAATAAATTTGATGTTGTACGTTAAAAAAAAGTACCGTTCACTTCCCCCCAGTCTATACAGTCCATATATGGAAATGAAGCTACAAAAACAGCATGCATTGAATTCATTGTTTTTGTGCTGTCACTTCCATGTATCCACCTATTTGGCCAACAGCAGTTTAGCCCCGCCCGTTCACATTGAATTTTTAACGAGTGTTTCAGCTTTAACTACTTTTCTGAATAAGGCACAATACAGGACAGCCAATCAGAACAGAGCTCAAATTCACATATCTGTCTAAAAGGCACTGTAACAAAAAAGTTAAATATTGAACAGTAACTGTTTAATTTTTAGAGATAGAGAGAAGTTGGGAAGTTAGGACTGTTTTTGATACATAAAACCACACATATGAGTGGACCTCAAGGAAAAAGATAATAAGATATAGTAAGATATGGGCCCTTTCATGTAACAAGGTTTTATCCTAAGCAATAATGTACGATTTCTGTTGGTCTGACATAGTTATGAGTTTCTGACTGAGATGTGGGCTAACAATAAATATATAATCACACAGGGTCTTTACCAGTCGATGCCTTTGTGGTAGTTGTTGGTGTTGAAGAACTGCACCTCCTCAAAAGTTTTGGAGCTGGGGAAGCTGCTGGAGATGGAGGGATGCATGAGGAGGAAGAGGTAGAGTGCTGTGGTGCCTGAGAAAGAGAGGGAGCAAGGAAAAGAGACAGAAAGACAGGAGAGAAAGACTGATGAGGCCTCGTGTGGATAATGATAATGTAATGCGTACAGTTCCTGCAGTTTAAGTACAGCACATGGAGCAGGCTGATAGGAGCAGGTGAGGTGATGTGCTGTGATCAATACTCTATTTACAGCATGGATTTTTCAGCTGTGTTTGTGAGGGAGTGGGATGTGTGTGTACAGCATGTACACCACAGATCAAAAGTTTGCAAGCAACACTTTACTTTCTAAAAATAAATATGAACTTTACATTTTATAAGGGATAACATATATGTAATGTGTGTCTGCAGCAATAGCATGCAACTAACTGATTCTTAATGAGGGCCTAACAGATTTCTACCACCAATACTGACACTAAATTTACTGATAATATCAGCTGGACAGTGCAATTTCAAAGTGGACTCCAGTAGTTTTAGTTAAACAGAACTTTACTGATTGATATGTGAGAGGGAAACTCTCAGGGCCTTGTAGACTTCTAGAGAAGAAATATGTCTGTTTTGTATTTTATTTTTAATTTTATTCCACAGAATCATGCCTGTATTTAAACTCTGGAAGTATTACAGTACTACTCGTTTCATTGCTAAGTTCTAGATGGAAACAAATGGGTTAAATTCTTGACGAATCAAGTGTAAACTGGCCAAATAGGAATGTTTTTTCTCCATGGTATCTACGTCGATACAGCCAAGTAAGCTCTCCCATTGGTTAGGACTTCAGGAGCTGAAGAGAAGGCCTAATACATTAATTCAGCCTTATTACGAAATGACTGAGGAATCAACCAACCAGGTTTTGGATGGGACCCATTTTGTGAGAAAACATCACTTTAGGCCTTGTAAGACTAAAAAGAAATCTATGGATTTTCAGCTCTGTTAGTTTGTGCTCTGTACATCAAATAAAGGCAACAGCAGTGTTGACAAATGCTGTGATTAATGAAGAAGAGCAGATTAAATGGCAAAAAAATCCAGTTTTTGCTTTGGCCTTAAAGAGTCAATGCCTCTAAAAGCCAACTCACATTCAATTATAACATAAAGTGGTTATGTATACACTGTTTTTTTAAATACATGCAGGGTGGAGAGGTACATGCAGGGTGTTGTAAGGCAAAACAGTCCCCAGAGAACTTGCATTTTTTCAGATTTCCCACTATTTTACCATCATCAACATCTCAGAAGACATGTGTAGGTTCTCTGGTCATTTCAGATGGTAATTGGCTATATTTGTGTTGTCATCATTGCAACTTCTGGTTCCTATTACCACCACCTCTCTACACCCAGTTCACCAGTTTCTCTACACTGAGCCCACTGAGTCATTTCACATTAAACCGCTCTGGATGACTTTGTTTACATCTCAACCACTGAATTATGGAGAAATGCAGAAGGAAATACAGTGGAAATCCCTTTTAACTGTAAAATCTTTTTAAACCGCATACATCGATGCTTGCTTCCATTGATCTGTGGTGTTTGGCTTCTTGCGAAAGTTGGTATGGATGTGTGTGGGTGAGACAGAGATGTGAATGTGTGTGTGTGTGTGTGAGTGTTTGGTAAGTTTGTGCTGAAAGAAAGCAGAAAGTGTCTAACAAGACAGAGAGTCCTGACACCAATCAGACTGCTTTAGTTAGACAACATAGCCAACACATACTCTCTCTCTCTCTCTCATGTTCTCTTTTCTTTTCCTCCTTCTCTCTCTCTCTCTCTCTTCCTCTAGGCTATGTGTCTGTATTGTTCTTCTTCAGTGCGCCTAATGCCTCTGGTTGCACTTTCATCAGTGCCAGCTATACAAGGTGAGATGTGATTGGGGATCAAGGGGAACAACTGAGTGCACGAACACACCCACCCACCCACGCACACATACACACACACAGGCCTTGAGTTCTTGCAGGAGAAAATGTTTTACAAATTTCACCCATCTAAAGACAGTAAAGAATGTGCACACAGCTGAAAATCACCAGTAGGTGCCGATATAGTTTTATGTTATCCAAAATTCAAAAACGCCAGTAGTTTTAAGTTTAAGAGTGCCTCAAACAGCATTAAACCCAAAGTAGGTAATTTCACTTTAGTATTCCTGGTTAATTCGATTATTACGATGTAAACAAAGTCTTTCAGATTGGTTTGATGTGGAATCCTCCATTCTACAGAAACTTACTGACTCAGAACTGTTTACAGTGGTGGTTATAGGAACCAGACATCTGAAGAGTTTAATAGAATAATTTTAATAAAAGCTACACTTCAGAAAGTTATTACATGAAATGGTTACAAATACATTACCTGAGAAACTGTTTTACGATAGCCTTAAACTTTTACCTAAGACATTCATTATATGGCCAAAAGTCCTTCGACAGCCCTCTTAGTTACTGAGTTCAGGTGTTTCAGCCACAGCCATTGATAACAGGTGTAAAAAATCAAGCACCAGCAATCTCTATAGACAAACATTGTAGGATAGAACAGAATGACAAACACAGCACGATGGGTCATACTGAAGAGATCAGTGACTTTAAATGTGGCACTGTCATAGGATGCCAAAAGTTAGTTTGTGAATTTTTGGCCTAGTTAGATCTGCCTTGGTCAACTAGTGAGTGCAGTCACTGTGAAATGGAAGCATCTAAGAGCAACAACAGCTCAGCCTCTAAGTAGGAGACCACAAAAACTCACAGCCAGGCTACTGAGTGCTGAATACTGAGTGTGTTACATGTAATAATATTTTTTGTTGCATCACTCACCACACTCACCAAATGGCCTCTGGAAGCAACACGGTCAGAGGGACTGTGTGTCGGGAGCTTCATGAAATGGGGTTCCATGGCCAAACAGTTGCACACAAGCCTAAGATCACTATGTGCAATACCATGCATTGGCTGGCAAGTTGAGTAAACTCAAAAAAAAAGCTGTGTAGTCACTTTATAATTTTAAGCTGAGCTGACTTGAATTTAAAACTGTGCATTCACTTCATTAAAATGGTGTAATTACCAGTTTTCTGAGGTCCAACCACCATAAACTTTGGGAGTCTGTCACACGTCTTCTCTTTAGACCAGATATCCTTGTGTCTCTTGTCATCACATGGGTTCTGCACAAATACACACAAATCATCATTTCCGTCAGCATGTGTGTGATGCAGACTGTAAGAAATAGATGATCAGTCACCATGTACTGTCTCTATAGTCAATGATCTCTATACATATAAGCATACAAAAACAGAAAAAAGTCTACTATTACTGGCTTAACCACATTTAGGTCTTTTCGCTTTATATTGGAAAGGAAAATGAACAGGAATAAAAAAGGTATAAGAAATACATAAATTAGTTCTGTCCTAACAAAACCTTGTATTTCTGTAACAAAAGCATGTTTAGCAGAAGGAAATATGTGTGTGTTTATTCCAAGTTTTGAGGATCATTTCTTTTAGTTGACTTATTATGAAAAGTTCACACAGGATAATGCAAATCAAATGTATGGCTTTGATATGACATAGTATATTAAATGAAGTTTTAAAATGAAGGTTGAACATTACATAAGCTTTAGTAACACAGCAACAAAATAAGAGTAACTAAACCTAAGACTAATCAGTAACATTGTACTTGAACCCTGCTATAAAACACTGACACAACCATGTCACAGCAGATGTACGTGGACATATACCTTTCTCTCTCTGTCTCTTGCTTTTTCATACACGCATATACACTATATATGGCCAAAAGTAGACACCCCTCCTAACTGTTGAGTTTAGGTGTTTTGCTAACAGGCACATATCAAGTACACAGCCATATAGTCTCCATAGACAAACACTGGCAGTAGAATGGGTCGTACCAAAGAGCTCAATGACTTTAAATGTGGCACTGTCACAGGATGCCACCTTTGCCAAAAGTCAGTTTGTGAAATTTTTTGCCTTGCTAGGTCTGCGCTAGTCAACTGTAAGTGCTATTATTGTGAAATGGAAGCATCTAGGAGCAACAACAGTTTAGCCACAAAGTGGCAGACCAACCAAAAAGTTACAGAGCTGCCGAGTGCTGAAGCGCGTGGCATGTAAAAATCACCTATCTTCCAAACTGCCTGTGGAAGCAACATCAGCACAATAACTGCACGTGAGGAGCTTCAAGAAATGGGTTTCCATGGCAGAGCTGTGGTACAGAAGCCTAAGATCGCTATGCTGTTTCATACAACATCAGTGCCTGACCTCACAAGTGCTCTTCTGACTGAAGGAGCACAAATTCCCACAGACAGACTCCAAAACCTTCTGGAAAGCCTTCCTTGAAGAGTAGAGGCTGTTATAGTCGTAAAGGTCTCCATAGTAATGCCCATGGATGGGATGTCCAGCAAGCACATGTAGGTGGTCAGGTGTCCACATACTTTTGGTCATATAGTGTACATTTCTCTCGTTCTCATTCTCTCTCTTTCCATAAACACACACACTGACCTGCCAGAGTGGGTTCCTCTGCTCGGGAAAGAGTGTGAAGTAGTAATGTGCGAGCTGCAGAGGAGGCAGTGTGTGCAGTCTCAGGTTGGTCCAGCATTTCAAGAAGTTGGCGAGGTTGACGAACGTGTACAGACCCAAACGGTCATTTCCATAGTTAGACAGATGAGTCATGAAGATACTGATCTACAGGACAGAACATAAAGAGACATTTAATTACACATTTCATAGGCAATCAGACAAACAGCAGCTTCTTAAAACATATCTCAACAAATTACATACATATCACTTACTCAGCTCTTAAAGGGAAATTCCACCATTCCACCAAAATATCTGTATAATTCAATCGTTGAGATGTAAACAGAGTCATTCAGAGTGGTTTGATGTGAAATGCTTCATTGTAGAGAAACTTACTGACTCAGATTTCTTTACACTGGTGGTAATAGCAACCAGTAGCCACAATGTCTACTATTCTACTAATGGTAGAATAGTGGTGAGTCTGAAAAATAACTTTTCTTCACTGACTGTTTTGCTTCTCATGCACCCCTGTGCCACTGATGGATTAAAAAAATTGATGGATTAACATTTCATGTAATAACTTTCTGTGATGGAGCTTTTAGAGGCTTTTATAATTCATCACCACCACTGTGAACATTTCTGACTCTGTAAGTTTCTCTCGAACCGAGCATTTCACATGAAACCCCTCTGAATGACTTTGTTTATATCTTAAACATTGAATTATGCAGAAATTTTGAGAAACTAGTGGAATCCCTCTTTAAACTACTGACATAATTTAATTATTAAGCTTAAAGTGAAATTCCACTGATTCTCTGCAAAATGAAATGGTTAACACAGCTTTCCAGAGTGGTTTGTGCTGTTCTAGAGAAACTTACTCTACTCAATACTCATACTCAAGAAGACGCATGTACATTCACTGGCGGTTTTTAGATAGTTAATAAAAAGGCTGTATTTGTGTTATAGACGTCGCAATCTCTAAATCCTATCACCAACACTGTAAACAAAGTCGATACGTTTTTCTGCAAGTAAGCATTTCACATTAAACCACTCGGAATGACTTTGTTTAATCTCAAACATTAAAGCATATAAAAATGTAGAAAGAAAAAAAAACGGCAGAATCTCCTTTCCTTTTAAAACTCATCATTCAGTAACTGCTGTAAATCAAGTAGAAACTATTATGAAATTCTTTATGTTATAAAAACAAGTAACCAACAAGTAAGTCTCAATCACAAAAGTGCTTTACGCAAGAAGATACACTGAAAATAAAATATGAATGAATCAAATGAAATAACTGCACGAAAAAACCCTAAACACAGCTATTAGAGGGGATGAAAGTGTAGAGGCACATATGGGTTCTTTAGAGTTCAGGGGTTTATGTTTACAATGTGTTTGTGAATGTGAGCAAGAGCAAATAACCAGCAAAGGCAAACATCTGTGTAATAGTGCAGCAGTGTTCTGGTTTGGCCTATAGATGGCAGTAATACAGTGACTGTATTGAGTTTAGACTACATTAAGAGTGAGTCTCAGTAAAGTGCAGGTGTCAGTTATAAATGGTTGGGATTATGTTCTGTGGTTGTATGAACCAAATGAATGGTCACCGAACCTCCTGGAGATTTACCACTCTGGTTCCAACTTGCATCTAACATGCTGCCCCCCTTTACCTACCACTAATTTATCTGACCCAGCCAGTCAAGCACTTCTCAAGAAGTTCATTATTTGGTGCAGGTGTGGAATCAGACTTAACAGGAAGGTATAGGGTGACACTTTTTTTTGAGTGGTCCTTTTTAGATGAAACACTGCTTCACTAATATGTTGTTTTTGTGTAACTGATAATCTGTTAAGAGTTTACTAATCATCTACAAAGGACTCCAAATTAAGTTTTACTGAATATAGTAATATGCAAAAGTCAGAGACCATCCTTTACATAATTTCCAGCCAAAATGGCCTTCAAGTTATTCATATTTGAGGCACAAAAGATACGTAACAGAAAACTGGACAGAAGCATCAGCAACTGAATATAATCTCAAAACCTTTCACCACCAGCTTCCATTCTTTTCGGGAGACTTGTAGCTTTTCAAATAAATCGTAGGGTCATTTTTCCACACCTCAAGTTCAGTCTTAGAAGTCAGTTGCATTTTCTGCTTCACATGATCCAAGTAATCAAACACATTCAGTGATGTGGAAGTCTGGGCTCTGGGGTGGTCAGATAGCTAGAGTGGAACTTGATTTTTTCCTCCCTCTCAAAGAAGCTTTATCTGATGAGGACGGTTTTGGTGGTCTACCAGGTCTTGCACGTTGATTAGGAGTCTCATTTTCTCTATATCTTCTGGAAACTTGTGCTTTACACTTATTTTCCATTAACTTGGTCCAAGTGGATTATCGTATATCTAATCTCCACAGAAATATCTCCTGAAAACTGAACAACTTAATGACTAAAAATGAAATAAACAAAGGGTGGTCTCTGACATTTGCACTGTACCATAGATCTCCAGGACTAGGGCTGGTAACTGATTCAACTCACATTTTTCTGCTAGTTTACAACATTTGTTTGCTTAACGTTTTTTCCTTAACGTTTTCACCCGGGGAGCCATGAGTGTGTGATGAGGAACACTGCAACACCAAGCCTGATGGTCAGTAAATGGCGACAGAATGCAGCCCTTGCTATCTGAATAAAGCTATTAGCAAGTCGAAGCTAGCAGCAGGAGTCATGCTAGTTTGAATAACACCCCGCAGACTCTGTTTAACACCCCGGTGATTGGCCTTTGTATTCGTACATAGTCATTTCCCCTAGAAACATACACATCACTTACTGCCCATTGAGATTTGAGCCGCTGCTGTTGGTTTATTTCAGAAAGCTGTGATTGAGTTTGGGGGTAAAAAAGTCTCCTAGCAACCCACATATGTTCCATAAGGGTGTTTTCATGCGTTCAATCCATATATGCCCAGTAAGCGTTCGTTAATTTACTCAGACTGTCTTATTGCCAACTTCTGGCCAGCACTTTCTCCCTCAAGGGAACGTTCAATCACCACCCTCGCCTTGGCACAGCGTGAGATGACGTAAAACCAAAAGGATGTGTTCACTCGGTGCCCGACTGCACTATAATTTCGACGCGGCCCGCGGGGAGACGTTCACAAGGCTTTTATGATCGCGATCGATACAATTAGCAAGGGGCTGCTATCCTAGCGCCTGCGCTGACATTAACAGAGTCAGGTCAATAATGGTAGAGATGCTAAACTTTGCTCTCGAGATGAATTAGAGGAGAAGAGAGAAGAGAGGAAAAGCTTTACCACAGTGGTTTCTCAATAGCAAGAATGTAAAGAAATGAAGAAACTACTTGCCAAATTGCCTCACAAGAATAAACTTGTTAGATCCCTAAAACAGAGAACGCAAGAGTTTGACTTACTGTTTGTGCTGTTGTTAAGCTAACCCACGTGAAATGATGTTGCATGGAAATATCACAAAAAGAGGACAGCTTGCAAGGCTCATCATGGCAGCTGTATTAGTGCTGTATTACTTAATGGTAAACATGCACACAGGGCAAAGCCTCATTGTAGGGAAATGCAAATGCATAGTAACTAGATATGAGTCGGTACTCAGTAATTCAGTTCACCATGATATTACACACACGATATATTATCGTGGACACTTTGAAATACCATCACAATCCTCATGTTCATCATTTTAACCAGTTTCTCCAGAGATTTCTAAAGACACACTGAGTAGCTCTGCTTTCACACCTCGCTATCATGCTTTGATCACCTGATTACAGTCTCTTCCTTGAGCAGAGATTGTACATAATCACAACAGCCACAGCACGGCAGAAGGAGGAGCAGACAGAGAACTATTATGTGCTGGTAAAATCATGTGATTGGTGGAGTCCTAACTAGTCGGTGGAATTGAATATGACCAAACTGGGGAGAAAACAATCAGAAATGGATCTGGCTTATTTTAGCCTACCTATTAAAATATGCCTGGATGGGATCAGAACATCACTCACTTCTATACACAACAGTGTGTCATACAGTGTCTGAAACTAGCTATATTTAGGGTAAGGACTGCTTTAACTGTTGTACTGTAATTGCACTCAGGTCAGAAGACCACATTAACAGAATCTATGAAGGCATGGGTTGAGAAACACCTAAGCCCTTCATGCAAAGAGAAGAGAGGAGGAGTTTTACTGGGTCTCCATGCTTGACTGGTTTAGTAGGTTGTGAATGTGGAGAGGGGGAATGGGAATAAGTGGCCTAGTTTAATACAGGCACACCAGTCAATGCAGGGAGCCATTTCCCCTATGATAAGACTGTTCACCACAAAAACCCACTGGCAAATACAGCACTTGCTCATTCACAACCCAACACAAACATGCTCAGAAGTTTTCAGCAGCTTTAACTTCTTTAAACAACTCGCATCCCTTTTATGGCACAGCCCATACAAATGTTGTCTTTGTGATAAAATATTAAACTGAAAGCTGTTTAGATACATTTTTCTTTGCAAACCCTGAAAAACTGAAGGAACAACTAACAAAAGACAAAAGATCTAGTTTGGGAAGAATGCCAAAGCCCACATATTTTATCCCCTTTTTGTGACTCAAACAGCACTCAAATTTTTCAGGAGTTTAAACCACCTTTGGTTTCAAAATGTACCTTTAAGAAAAAGTTCTGTGAAAAATGCACCTTTAAGAAATCCTTATTTACATGTATGAACATTATTTATATTTTTTACAGCACTGTGCAAAAGTTAGAGACCACCCTTCATATGTTTAATTTCCAGTCAAAACATCCATTAAGTGCAAGTTACCCATTTTTCAGTGTCAGGAAAAAAAACAGAAAACATGTATTTAACAGAAAATTAAAAAAAAATGCAATAACTATATTTTTTTCAGCATTTAGTGTGTCCACCTTTTGCCTTCTTTATGGTTTCCTTTCTTTTCTGGAGACTTGCGTTTTTTTCAAGAAAACACTGTGTCCACTCACTGTCCACTCTATTAGACACTACTACCCTGTTGGTCCACCTTGTAGATGTAAAGTCAGAGACAGTAGCTCATCTGCTGCTGCACAATTAACGCTGGTCACCCTCTAGTCCTTCATCAGTGGTCACAGGACACTGTTGGCTGGACATTTTTGGTTGGTGGACTATTCTCAGTCCAGCAGTGACACTGAGGTGTTTA